AACCCAACCCAAATCTGATGGGTTTCTTGTAAATAAGGTGAAATCAAGGGGTAATCCGTCCTAAACCTTCCGAACAAAATTACCCTTCTAAGTTCTAATAAATACCCTTCAAACCCAGCCCAAATCTCATGGTTTTATTGTAAATGAGATGAAATCAAGGGGCAAACAATTGACTGTAGTTGAATGAATAATCAATTCCTCCTCAATTTTAGAATAGATAATTTTATTTAAGGTTTTTAGTTAGACTTATGTATAAGTTGCAGAAAATGAATATGATTTCAATGCACAATTTTATCGTCTCTTTGTGAGAGTTTGTGAAGTTTGTTTCGATTGATGGTACTCGTTTCAACTGTGTCACTTTGACAGCTAAATTGTGGATTACTAATCGTTGTTGTTTTTGTCAACAACACATTCGTTATAAGTCGAGCAAACCCCCCCAAAATAAAAAAAAAACTCAGATATAGCCCACAACAACACAAAATAGAAAACCTTAAATCTGGCAAGGAACACAGCAGCCGCACCTCCATCTAGTACTCAACTGCCGGACCACCATCCGATCCAAATCTAAAACCACCACAGAAAAAACTTGCATACGGAAGAGCCAAAGGCTTGAACGAAAAATGAGGGTAAACTAGTCATCCGCGCAAAAGCTATCTTATATTCTAGATTGATCTAAGCAGCAAAGAGTCGTGGTTGAGATATGATGGCGAGAAGTAAAAGACAGGAAACTAATTGAAAATAAGAGGTGAGAGAGCATAGATTTGAAATATAGCTTAGAAAAGCTCCCATTACGAATGATAGTGTTACCAACTCTAAATGTGAAAGTGAGAGCTGAACACAAAACGGAGGTTTTTTTTTTAGTAAAAAATATCGTTTCATATCTGTTTTTGGATTCGGATATGCCCTTTATTGGTCTTGTTAAAGGGGATGCAAAGTTGATATTTAGACTAGAGGTATTGTTAGGAAGATTAAATTTGTAAATTAAATTTGAAAACTAAATGATTTATCACTAATAAAAAATAAATACGTTAATCAACACTTAAATAATAATCTAATAGTTAACTTCTATATCATTTAATTTACAAAATTTAATCTTGTTTAAATTGGTCGCTGGAGAAGGTCTTGCGCGTATTCATTGACATGCTAACAAAGTTACTCAACGTATGTTACGTGGTTTAGTTTTCTTACAGGTGACTCTTTTTAAAATATAAAAGACGTGTGAGGTAGAAATTTAGTTTATACAAATTATTTTATAAATAAAAACTTATTTTATTTCCATTTATTATTTTCTATTCACGTGGCACTTGGTATGCCATCCACGTATACAATCTAATTTTGAACCACATCCAAAAGAAGTCAGGGAAGAAAGTTTGAGCTCGCCTCCATTCCAAGTGACAAATCTAGTTGTTTTTGTTTTAAAGCCTTCAAATCTTTTTCTTTTTATTACAATATATTTTACACTAAAGGAATGAGAGAGTTTGATTAATCATATAATAGACAATTTAATTTGATATCGAATTCATCATTCATAAGATTCGAACTAATAACTCTCATTTACAAATTAAAAAAATAGCACAACTGAATGACCCTTCATATCTTACGTCCCATATTCACATGTTCAGTATTTGCCACCTCGGACAAGTACACATTTATTGAACACCTAGTTAAACAGTGTTAAGTTTCCCAAAAAGGTGAAGATTGAAAACAAATCAAACGATCATGTAGCTTTCAGTTTTTGTTTTTGTTTTTAGTTTTCGTATTTTTAAAAATCAAAATTGAAAATAATTGCTAAACGAGTTTTCAAATTTAAAATAAAATAGTTATTAAACGATATTTTCGTCTCATACCATCAGAGAGCAATAAAGATTGACCACCAACATGCGTTACCACTCTTCTTTGTTTAGTGATTAATGGCTCGTTTTATAACTATTGTTCTATAGAAGTGCGGTAACAGTCCATGCATAAAACTTAAGGAAAATTAATAAAAATAGTTTGAAAACTTTGAGTTTTAACGATAAGAACAAAATAAAAGGTAAAATAAATAGTACCAGGATTGACTTTTTAGTGTAAAAATATGGTTTTTCGTTAAAGTGAACAGTAATGAGAGTTTTTCGTTAAAGTTTCTTAAAACTTACCCTTAAAATTCAGACTAAAAGAAAAAAGTAGGGCTAGTTTCGGTTTGGTAACCAAATCGAAAATAAGAGAAACAAAATTTGATTTGAACTCATCCCTAACTCTGGTTGTCGAAGGTGAAAGAGAGAGAAGGCTTCGCGTTAGAGTCGTCAAAGAAGATGGTAAGAAGAGTGTTGCTTTTATACTACGGCTTGAGTTTGAATTCTGTTGACTTTTTTATCTAACAAATCTATGACGAAAAAAAATAACTCGACTTTAGTAGTTTTAGGCAAGTCCAATTTCGAGGGTAAAGCAAGAGAACAGGACAGGGGAGCAGAAGATCCTTGTTCAGTTGATGCCCAACAAAGAAAACCCGCAAAGCATCAGTCTCTCTCTCATTTTTCTATTTCCGAAAATCCTTCTATTTCTCTCAAACCCTCCCCAAGGCTTGGCCTTTGGCACGCCATTGCCAAACCCTAAAACCCGCACTCCTACTCAGAACCCAATTCAAAGCTTCGCAATTTCTCGCCTTTTCTGGGAATCGGTACGCTGTTCAAAACCCTAGCCTTATATACTGCTTCAGTTATGGTGTTTCCATTGTTAGATTTTCTGATTTGATTTGTGTTTGCCAGTATTTCAGCACCGTTCGGGTAGCTTTGATTTTAAAGTGCTTTGAAATTGTAGGCTCAGTAGGAGATTTTAGGTTGTAATATACATTGTTGGTTCCACGCTTCAATCCGAAACGAATGTAGCTTTCGGTCAAAACCCTTTTGGCTATTTAGCTGTTACTTGATGAATTGGGTTTTACTCGCTAATGAATAAGATAGTATTGGTTGGGTTTGATTGTGATTTAAGACTGTTTTATTCTCTGTAGGCTGTGTAGGAAGCAATGAGCACCGACAAGACGCCGCCTGAAAAAGGAACGTCCTCAAATAGTTAAATTGGATAAAGCTTTGGATCTGGTGAGATGATTTTTCCCCGTCGTGTTATGAACAATGTACTGTTTTCCGGTTACTACTACCGTGTCTGGTCTATATGGTCTAGAGCAACTAGAACCCGGCATAGAATGCACATCCATTAGAATTTGAGATTTGATGATATGAAATGATAGTTTTCTTGGAGTTGTGTATCTTTCTGTCTCTGCGTGCGTGTTTGTGCGTGTGTGTGGTCACGCATGTTTGTGTGTGCGCGCGCCTGCATTTGTGTGTGTGTGAGTACGCGCGCGCGTGTGTACCTGTGTGTAGTGAATGAGCTCGGAAGAGAAATGCTGTTCTAAAAGATTGATTTGTCATTTGTAATTGGGTTGTGAATATCTGCAGCAGGCTATTAGACAAGAAAATAATGGGGTTCAAGTTTGAACTAATTTGAAACCTCCCCAGGTTGTTTTAAATGAGATTGTTTTGAGTACATGATAACTCTGAAGATTATATGATTTTTATATGTTTATGGGGATAAACAACATTTACATCAACGCGGTATCTCCGTAATCTCTTAGTTAAGAGTATCTGTTTTTGCCAGTGATGTCATAGCAATCTGGTCGAAAATCCTTATGAATGGGGTGTCGTGGAGTCTAAGAACTATGCAGTTCTTTGCAATGCTATTGATGTCAATCCCTTCATTGATATTCAAAAGCTAACTTTCTTTGTGCATGAAAATTGGCTGATGTGCAGGCTAAAAAATGGCTTAATACCATGAGTGAACCTGCAGAAGATGAGCCATTTGAAATACAGGCTCGGCCTGCTAGGCAAGTTGATTTATTTATCTATTTTGTGTTTAAGAGAGTATAATTATCTTTAGTTGCCAATATTGGCTGTTATTGAGACATTATTGACTTTCTGCAGAACTCTTTATTGAATTTTGCAGGCTTGGACTAGGTGCTGTAGCTCCCCGCCCGTCCAAGTTTGCACCTTCAAATGATCCTCTTGAAAGGAAATTACATTACAAGTTGGATGCCGCAAGAAGAAATGCTGCTAAAATTGCAGAGGAGTCCACACTAACTGCTAAGGATAATGATGACAATGATGATGAAGATAGCAGAACTAGTGCCTTTGCAAAGAAAAGACCAGCAGCTCCAGTAACCCCATCGTTACGGGCGAAGAAAAGGCAGAAGTAACCATCTCACCTTGTCATGTAGGAAAAGAAAATTAACCATCTCACCTTGTCAAAAGTGAATCTCTAGAGCTTTTGTTCTCATTCAGTAAACCTCACACAATTTTCGTTTGAGTAGACTTGACGGCGCTACGTAAGTTAAAAGTACAATCTTCATGAGAAATGCTAGTTTGTGTTTATGTAATTATATGATACGGGAGGCAAATGAGCTGCACTGCACAACATTGTTGTATTAATTCAGTCATTTTCTTAAGACATAATTCTTTGATAATATTAAAGAGGCTTGTGTGTTTGCCGATAACCTTTGCAGCTTCCTCTCCTATTATTATTTGAATCCAAAGAATATTTCTAATAAATAAATAAATTTCTTTCTGAATTTTGTTGTTTGTTGAGGAGAGAAATTTTGTGAAAGAGTAGAACATTGAATTCTTAATTTCCCTCAGAATTGAGAAGTCGGCTATAGCTGTGTGCTCCTTTGCTTCATCCAAATTTGAATCCCCCTCCCTTAAATTTCGACGAATTTAGAGTAGATTATCTCTATGTTAGTAAAAGTTAAAAACAGAAGTTTGTTAATTCCCTAATTTACATTTATTAAGAGAAAAAAATACTTGCCTTAATTAAAGTAATACGAATCATGCGTTGTATGATTCATATTTATAGACGTCACACTCCCTTAAACCACTGTGGAATGCCTAATAAAATCTCCGCTTCCCGTGCAATATAATTTTTCCACAACTTTTATTAATCTGCAATCCAAAATCCAGCTTGTTCAACGTATATAACAAAACCTAGCATGATGTTCCTTTATTTTCTTTGTAATTACTAATTACAACACCAGTAATAGTCAGTCACAAGACTAACAACTCACAATTTGTTTTTTTTCTTTTAGAAATACACAACCTACAACTTCTTGTACTCCAACCCTTTCAAATACAACACCAAATATAAAGAACAAGGTAACACAGTTGACAATGAATGAAATCAACAACACTCTCAACTAAACACTCCAACCCTCTATAAATCTACACTTATAAGAACAACTCTCCACATTACCGCCTCGGCGGTTGACACAGATGACGACTCAGAAATGGTACCTGTTCTTATCTGTCTTGTATAATCGACTTGCAGAGAAGTGCCAGAGTTCTTGCAAAGAGAATTTGCAGACCAGATATCTGTTCCCTGGCTATCAAGGACTTTCAGGTGACTGACTGCTGCTCCGGAATCCGGATGCCCCTGAGCCTTAGTTTTGACTTGTAACAGATTCTATACTATCTACATGATGTCAGTTAACAAAGTTGCAAATCCAGTTCATACCGGATCCACGGTACTCCAGGAAAGCTAAAATGCTGCTTCTCACCCTCTGGATGCACAGATATGACTTGCTTTCCAACTGCCTCAGCAAGAAGGTGGCTTGGCATTTGATATAGACAAATCGAAGTCAGATTGAGTTCTATAAGTTGAGAATGCTTTCTGTTTCATTTGATTCAGCTACAACTGAAGCATTGCTCTCTGTTTCATTTGATTCAGATTTAACTGAAACATCTTCACTTCCGAGACTTCCTTCTACATAGCTTAATATGGTGTCTTCCATCAATTCTTGGAGAATGGCTTCACCCATGTCAACACCAATGGTCTCAGCATCAAACCGAAGGTCCATCCACGTTCCAGTTCTTGACATGTCTTTTGTGACAATCTGGTCCAAAGTACGAGGCAATGGAAGCGGATGGAGATGCCAATAAACATCTATCCAGACCTCATCTATAGTAGTTTTCATATCCGGTACTGGCCTTATACTAGGTTTTGCAGATGATATCCGAGGGAAGCAACCATAATAATGCCCACAAATCTCCAGTAGAACTTCATTAATACAGTCAACAAGGAGCTTTGGGTCATAGCAAAGCTGGTTAGGAAAAAATTCCACCTCATCACACAATGATGGCTCAATAATTTGGTCAGAAGAAAGCCACTTCATACAGAAGTCATCCCAATTGAAGACGGAGGCTTGCATGACTGCTTTTACAAAATCAAACATTAGTTCCTTGTCTTCTGTATAGGTTTTTGCATTGTTAGCTTGCTCTGCGGCTGAAGGGTCATAATCTTCAAATTCGATCTTTAGTGGTTGTAGCTCTCCTGCGGATCAGTAAAAAAGTTAATATTAATGGAGAAATGCAAAACATATAAGGATTCAAAGTAAATCCACTGTCTTATTATGAAGCATACCAAATCGAGAAATAGTTTTCCTGGGGCTGATATCATCCTCTGTGAATAGTGGCTCAAGAACTGAAACAGGACTTGGCCGCTCTGGTGTATCTATAGCACTTTCTAAATTTTCAACATGCTTGGTGGTTGAAGAGCTGGAAGGGGATGCTAATGAAGAAGATTGCGGGTTTTCGTCATATGAATCCTGGAAGATGGGCAAGAATAATTATCAGGATGGAGATGATGGATATAAGCAGGGCAAGTTTACCAAAGGAAAAATAAATTATATGCACAAAAAAGAAAGATATTATTACCTGTTGTAAGCATTCCAAAATTCTTTTATCATCATTTTGGTCATTTATGGCGATTGAAGAACCACTTAGTTCAGAGAGGGCATCCAAGACAAATTCTTCTTCCCAAGCAACAATTTCTTCTTCCCAAGCAACAATTTCTTTTCCATTTTTAATCTCAACACCTACAAAAATTTTATAAATCCTAAATACCAAAGAATTTAAAAGCAAGCACGGAGACTAATCAAACAGCTGCGAGAATCAATACCTTCAGAATTCTTCTCGTCTACGATGGAAGGATGGGTTTCTTCCACTTCATTATCTTGAATCAGATTGTCAGAGATGCTTGGTATTGAGTTAGGAGGCTGTACTTTATCATCAGGGTTATTGTCAGAATTAGACGGCAGACTCTCTAAGTTGTGTGCTACCTCACCAAGAGGGCTGGCATTTTTCTCTCGCTTAGGAGACCATGTATTCTCATTGGCCTTCAAAAGTTTGTCATAGGCAGACAATCTCATCTGTGCGGTAACAAAGCCATGCTCCAAGTCCCTTCCTGGACTGCCAAAAGGAGAAACGTTGTATTCAGGAAGAGAAAGAATCTTTCCCAAGGTTTTAGGAAACTGCCGTCTTGAGATATCTACACCATCATCTCCATTACTCAGCATCTCACAGAGATGCTTCTTGGCCTCAATGTAGAGGTTAGATAGCCTTTCATCCACAAGACCATGATTTTCATGTTTCAAACTTACTTCAGGTTCTTTCACTTTCCCAGTCTTTTCTGCCCTCTTGGTACCACCGGAAGGTTTAGCAATTCTTTCAATGTAGAAATGCTCTTTACCAGGAGAACTTCTAAGTTTTTCCTTACCAATTCCTTTGTCACTACCTCCCGAATTTTGACGCCCATAAGGCAATCTGTTTGAACTTCCAACAGTAGATGCCCCATGGTGTTGCTTTCCCATTGCATTCTTTAGTTTCCTTTTTATTTCCGAGAGAAAAAAGTGGGAACCAACTCTCTCACTTGGCCCTTTATTTCTTACAATGTTATGGGATTCTGAGGATGCACTATCTCCAGTTTCAGAATTTCGTAACGCTGGAGGCCCAGGCTTCAAAATGACAATTCTCTTTGAAGCTTCAGAATCCTCATTTTCCTTACTTGGGTTTCTTTCCTGAGGCTTGACCTTTCTCCTGAAAAAGTACCGCTGTTTACGGTTGACAAGCTCCTCAGATTGTTTTACATCACCAAGCTTCTGTTCCGACAACTTGGACTCTGCAAAGGAAGCGTATTCTTCATCTTTCTCTATCTGAGCATCCTGGAACTTTTGGATATGTTTTGCCAACAGTGAGTTTGGATCCTGCAAAAGTTTCAGAAACAATTCCTCATCTGAACTTAAGACCTCGAGTGCATCCATTAGTTCTTTCAAGTGGTGGACTTTCTGATCTTCCGTAAGATGTTTCCCATCTGCTAACTTATGATTCATGAACTCCTTGATTGCCACACATAATTTCTCTTCAAAATCAGAATGCTTGTCGCTTGGTTCCACAGGAGCTTCACCATTCACGTCATGAGTCGAGCAATTGATGTATTTCTGATGGATCTGGCAACATACCTCTTCCATTATCTCATCCATTCCAACATTACTTCTAGTTTTCTGTTCCGGATTCTGATTGCAAGAGCACCCAGATTCCGAGTTCTCTGGAGCATTCATAATATGGGTGTCCATGTCTCGGCTTTTCTTGCGAGTCCTCTTTGTTTTCTTCTGGTCCTTTCTGTTCTGGCTTGAATCTGACTGCCTAGTTTCCACTGCATCATTGCTTATCTCCCTCTTCATGCCCTGCTCACTGGACATTTCTTCTTCCATGAGTTTCTTCACACTAGGTTTACAAGCATCCACTACCACTATTGCTTTTGAGCTCCCATCGCCATCCTGAAGCATTTAATACAGCTCTATGAGTTATATAATCACTCAATTAGTGAATTAAATCAATTTGATATGGATGCAACTTACGAGTGTGCCTTCAAAGTTTTCATCCAAAGAGCTCAAAACTTCAAACTTGTTCCTCGATGTCCAGTAGCTGCAGAAAGAGAATTAGGACTTGCAAGAAACATTGCCCTTCCGATGATTCCAAATCAAATTTTTACTAAAACCATTTAGATAAACATGTTAACTAGTACAACTTTTCCAGAGAAATCCCCAAAACACAACTGCTACTCACTGAATTCATTTCAGCCTGAAGAAACTTAGAGCAGAAAATCCTTGCATGTTGCAAATATCCAGTTAAAAGTGGATTCTAAGTTGAGAGTTCTTACCAACAGTTTGCTTACTTCCATGCCTCTTATCAGAAATCAGCTTCCAGGTGGGGCGGCCGTGCCGGAAGTCAAAGATACTCATCAAACCCCACATGCAGCCTAACTGATCTTTCTCATACCTCACAGGGCGTTTCTGTGACTTCTTTGCCATATCTAATGGGATGAATATATAGTTTCAACAGGCTTTGTTCATCCAAAATCTGTCACTGGTCTGGCTGCAAGAAACCCCAACAAACAAAAAAACAAATAAAATTAACAAGCAGCAGTTGAATGGTACTTCAAAACTTCAAACATTAAGAAATGTTTTCCAAATCATGGCAAAATTTGACTGTAGATGATCAATCAACAGATGCAAATAGTAGTACTCTGATCAATATAAAATGGCATGCACGAAGGAATTACCTCAAATTCAGAGGCTCAAATTCGATACACCGAAAGAACAGAAATGCAGCCGGATAAAAGTCTGTTGCATAAACAAGGCAGATTCCAATTCCAACTCCTCAAGTTTTCCAACAGAGTGAGGCTCAAGATTCCAAAACTTTCTTTGGATGGCAAGGTATCTAAAGCCTTATTTTTTCACTCATAAAAGCCTTAACCAGCACCTCAAATTCTCCACAAAAAAGGCTCAAAATTCCTGCAATTTGGTCTTCACTTCAAAGAAAAGACTGTTCAAAGACAATTACGCACTTGATCATCACAAATGGTGTTAAAAGGTCAAAAATTCATCGCTCAAATTCAGTGAACAAAACTAAGCAATGATGCTTGAAAATTGATCAGAAGCTTGAGATACACAAAAGTTTGAGATAAACCCAAATCTCCTTTTCAGAAATTCGATCCCAAATTCATGAGTTCTGCACAATGGAATTTACAATTCAGAAAATTCAGGCATGCGTCCGGTGTTTTTTGTTTTTTTATTTAAAAAAAAACCGCTTTGAAGGTCAAGGCTTCTGAAGCAACACACAGCATGAAAAATTCAGGACAGTACAATGCAGTATTGAAAACGACCCTTTTGAAGTACTCAAGATCCAACCCAATTTTTCTTTTTCTTTTTCTTTTTCTTTCCGCAATTCTGAAAATATCACAAGTTTTGGAGAAAATCCAGATTAAGTTCAAGAAAATTCAACCAAACAATGGTGAAAACAAAGACTTTTTCTAAAAATTTTCAAAGTGGGCATCTTTTTGACAGCCAAAAAGGGAGGTGGAAATGGTAATCCAGCACCGACCCACTATTTTTTGAGGAGAACGGTGAAACGGGCAGCCATTAAAGACTGAGAAAAGTGGAGGGAGAGAAGTGGGAAGTGGTGGTGGGAAAAAAGACAAAAACTTTACAATGCTTGCTTGCTGTTGGCTTTGGGTTAGAGAGAGGGAGAGAGAGGAGAGAGAGTAGAAGAAGAATACGTGACAGTTGGGGTTAGGATTGATTTTTGATGGGGTCCATTCCAGTGAGGGGAGGGAGGCTTTGTATTGAAGAAAAGTTGGGGTTCTCTCTCTCTCGATCTTCTTCTCTGTTCTGTTGTTCCAAACCATCATCAAAGTCGCCACCATCCACTCCCCACTCTCTGACTTTCTCTCCCTTCAAACCTTAACTCTTGAGCTGTAGAAGAAAATGTACGTACGAAGTTGATGATGTACGCTTTAAGGAGAGAGAGTTTTTCGGAACGATTTTTGCTCGTCACTATAAACTTTATTTAATACTCATCATACACTTAATTATTTATCACGTGTCAAATACTTCTGAGTTTTTGAGCGTTGAGACAAACAGACAAACACATGTTACAAACGAGATTTTGTTTAGTATTATTTTTTCATGCAAGTAAATATTAAGAAGGAGAAATCAGACTAGAAATTTCGAGTGTGACATCTAATGATTTTCTCGAACGATGAATGTTCATGATCAAATGAGATACCAGATTCTTGCAACGCAAAACTCTTTTTCTACTATATTTTGTAAATATTGTTATCAAATTGTTGACCAATTGAAGTACAAGATTCGTGTAAGATAAATGATTTGTGACCCTTTGGAAGTAATGTTTCATGGCGGGGCGGCACAGTCCGTGACGACATCCACTTCTTCATTTTCTATGTGATAGCAGCTTCCACTAATCTTTTACTCCAAAGTTGATATCCCATTGTTCCTTACGTCATTAGTTTAGGCATAACCATATTCTCACTTGTGCTCAATTGTATTCAACTTTGATAGCGTTTATTGACATAGTTGATTATTTGGTTATGACATACAATAAACCTTGAGTTTAGAGTTTAGACTTCAAATTTCAAAATTCAATGCTCAAAATCTAAAATCTAGGCTAGTAACCAATTCGCCACTAAAAATTTGATAGCGTTTGTTGACATGGTTGATTGTTGAAAAAATTATGTTAAATAAATGACCAAATGACAAAAATACTTTCAATTTAATAAACAATAGGCCAAAATGATTTGACAAAAATTGAGTGTATTTTTTTCTTTTTATTCCTTATTCAACGGAGATTTTTCATGGAATAACTAACATGGTAAACAAAATCAGGGATCACTTTTATCGATTTTAAATCTCATGAATCGTTTTGACTAAAAATCCTTCTTACCATGATTTAATTACTTAAACCATGTAAATTTGCATTTTTTTATACTATATTTATTTATTAAGTAGACGCGAGATTTTCTCGACGCAACTCTAATATAAATCCACGAAGTTCTTGTATGTATTACACATCATATATACTGAAATAATGTTTTGCATGCAAATTTAACAATGTTATATATTTTCCTATGAAAGAAAAAAAAAGAAAAAGAAAAGAGAGTGGTACTTCAGAATAAAACAGTGGATGAAGATTAAACACTGGGTCAGTGGGCATGGTGGTAAAAACATTCGAGTCGTCCTTGTGATTTAATGTATGGATGGATTCAAGTCGTTCAATTGGAAGCCTGCAGTGAGGCTGACTGGCTGAGGCATCAACAACTAACTGTCTGTCTGCTTTGAACTTTGAAAGATATGCTATTATTATTTGCATATCCTATTTATATATACTCAAAGTTTTCTATTTCTACTGACACATACAAGGTTTTAAAAGACGCTAGGTGGTAGTTGAACGGCGAATTGAAGTCTTTTTTACTAGCACAATTACATAAAGTGAATTACGACACTAATTAAGTACTCTTTGACCCAATTATAACCTTTGTCTTCAAGTAATTATATCAAATGATGCCTGCAATTTGAATTCTAATTCAAGCTGTGGTGGCTCTAAAGAAAGTACAAAACACCTGAGTCCTCGGCCGTCGGCCCTCAGAAAACAACTGTGTTTTCTTTTTAATTTGTTCATAAGAAGTCATATTGTTAATATTTAACTCTTCATTCACTTTTTCCATTCAAAATAAATAAATAAATAAATAAATTTCAAAGGTGCCTTCGGGGACATCCGATAAAAAAAAGTTAATATTATTTAATTATAAGAGAATTATAATGTCCAAGTAATACACCATAAAAAAACATATCATGTCCCAACTTAACCACATATTATTAAGTGTTGAGTGTTATTACAAAAGCTTTGCTGATATTAGGGGTGAAGACTTTCATATATTAATTGTATATCATTTTGCTATACTATCGATGTGGGTATCTATTCTCCAACAATCATGTCGTCTACCTCAGTAGTAAATTTAATGCATGTAAGGTAAGACAAACTTTGAATTACTTACTCTGTGTTATGAACAAAAAACGTAGTACTATTTATACACATTCTTGTTAATTTTTATCTATTGATTTTCTTCCTTTTATTCGATCCGATAATTAAAAATTAAGATGAGTGTAAGAAATAAAAATAACTGCATGGATAACACCACCCAAAAAAATGGGACAAGAATTTGCATGGGAAAATGCATGTAAACATTCGTCGGCAGTGAAAAATATAAAAGGTAGGCAAATTAGAGCTGAGATACCAAATGCTTGTCATAGTGCATGTGAGGAGCAGTTGGGCCTCAAGGGGCAGTTCAGTTGGGCCCTACTGCATGGGAAAGCAGCTGGGTCCACCAAAACCACACACACTTTACCAACTTCAATGCTGATTTATTGTCTAATCAAAAGGCCCATATGAGACAAAGTGCCACCTTGCCTCTACCCTAATGTCCGTTGAATCATTTCACACGCCACTCATATTTATAGGAACTTAATAAATAAATAATAAAAATTCTTCTCTAATGTATGACTTGCACCCGATTGGTATTTTTTTTTCTTTAAACTTGGTCAAAAAATTTAACAGTCCAAAACTTCGAAAATAAGAAAGGAAAATTTGAACTTAAATGAAACGAGTTGAGCTTACTTTTTTAACCAGCTTGATTAAAACAAGGTGAATAATGAAAAAGTTTTTTTTTTTTTTTGGAACAAACGATGATATTTATATTAAGGGAGTGGGGTAGTGGGCTAAGTCTTATGATGAGATTGCCGTAATAATATGGTTTAACTTCGTTTTTTACTAGAATCAATCTAAAATCTCTCACTTACAAGTGAAAAGTAATATAACTAGATCGTAGTACTAAGGTGTGAAAACCCAATGAAAAAGTTGGGTAGCACAATTGAATTAAAAACTGATTAAGTGGCAATTTTGTTGTTTAGAAAAGGGAGGGAAACCAATTGTAAAGGGACAACAACTTGGAGTTGAAATGTTTCTTTTTATTATTATAATTAATTTCATCCCTCCTATGTCATGTTATTAGGTGTTGGGGTGGGTAAAAAATACAAATTGTAAAACTTGACCTCTAATCTCATCACACAATACCAATGACACATTAACAATGCCAACTAACACACACAAGTGTTTAGACAATGGAAATTGCCTATTGAGGACAATCTCCAAGTTTTGGATTATTTGGGAATTTTTTTTGTTTTAAGGGATCACTACTACCTAGCTAACATTAAATTTATCACCAAATCTCTTGTTAATTTTGGATATTTTTATAATTTACCATAATATTATTATCAATTTACAAGTTATAATATAGATGGAGTGACATATTTACATTTCAGAATACAATATCAAGTAATATTTTTGTTTTTATTCACAATATGTGCTTGTGTTACAGGCCATACCAACGAATTGATCTTGACTTACACAATGTGGAAATAAGTTTTTTTGAAGAAAATCATCGGAATGACAGTCACATCCCTATATAGTGTTATCAAATCACTCATAGTTTATTACGTATATAAATTTAATTATTAATATATATTATGAATTTATAAATCGATGAAATATTAACAATATCATCTATCTCATATCATAAAACTTAAATTGTAATACTACGTGATCGTGTGACCGACACCATCCAAAAAAAAAATTCTAATTTTTCCCCTAGAGTCACAATGATGGAGATTGATTTATATGATTCTGTCAGTCTTGTATGACACATATAACCAAACAAATTAACAAAAATTAGTTTAGTATTTATATAAAAAGAGTCAAATAGAGAAAGGGTCGAGAAGGGAGAGTGACAGGGAGAGCAACCAATGATGCAGCTTTTTGTCTTTCTTGCCCTTGAAGATATACAAGAAATGTATATTAAGGGTTAGTGGAATTTCAAGGACCACAAGCGCACCACTCATGCAAAGGGAGACAATTAGTTTTGGATTTATCATTCAACTTTCCTTCTTACTTATAAAATTTCTATTAATTTGGAAGGAAAAATAGAAGCAAGTTAAGGACACGTTTGATGCATAGGATTGACTTGGTTTGGATTAATTGTATGGATTAGGTTGGATTAATTTTATTTAGGCCTCTCATTTTAAATGGCCTAAATATCATGTTTAGTCTAACACAACACAAAGCGATCAAAGGTTTACTAACTTAATCCCTTGTAGAATGAAGTCTGGAATCACCAGAAAATTTAGAGAAATCTCAAAGTTTATATTTGATTCATTCTTGAAAAATTACAATTGATAGATACAAGTGACTTAAATAAAGATTACAAATGTTTGGAACAACTCAAGGACTTATAGGAATTAAAACAACTTTAACTAAACATTAATAGGACGACAAACGAAGAGGAAGATTTTTATTACGAAACTTTAAACATTATTTTAGAGGCTAAAACGACCCTAGATGGTTCAAATCCATTGAATATCACAACAGAGTGGTGAGTTAGACTCGTGGTTTCGTCCTTTTATCTTATGACAGTCCATTTCCTCTTTTATCCACCATTTGTTCTACATCATAGTCCACACTGAGATTGGTGTTAAGTAATTAATCTAGTCCTAGTTTGGTCAATCCAAGGCTGCACAAAAGTTTTAATTTTAACCCTAAAAAAAAAGAATAGGGTTTAATTTTTTTTTTTTCAACGAATAGGGTTTCAGTTCATAAATGTGCATTGTTGCTTAAAGATGTAATGGGTTATTTGGTGCAACTTATTATTATTATTTTTGGTTGGTTAATTTGGTGCAACTTTAACATAATTTGGTTTTCCTTTAGTGTCAATAAAATTGTTGAGATTGAATTATCAAATTTGGCCATCATCTCATTAGTGCAGCCAAATTTGAAATTTACGTTTGTGTTACTTATGGTTTGGAGGTTATTATATAAAGCTCTTACCAAATGATTTACTTAAATGACATGTCCAATGCTTAATAGTTATGGTTTATCTATTATGTGCTTCGACCGAATTCTCATCCTAAATAACTTGTAAATTAGCAATCAACAATCAACAATATTTATCTATGCAGTCGACATTCTGTGATTAATTCCTGTTCTTGCAGTATCATTTTGTACTATAAAAATGCGGTCTTGTAATTTATCATGTTGTACGTTGTAAGTACCTTGTGACAAATTTGGGGATCCCCAACATTGCTCTTTCTTCAAGCATTGGATGCTCCCCTCCATCTTTTTGAGAATCCAATGCCTTAAAGCAAAAGTTTCATAATTTGTTTGCATGGCACACTCGAGGAGGCAATGGAAGTTTTGGCGGGTAAATATAGACTAGTTGCTTTATATAATACGTACGAGTGTGATGAACTGGCCACAATAGGAAGCATCGGAATCCTCCCCATAATTTAACTTGACAACTACAAGCTTTATGGAAATTTTCGCCACGATTTTGATGTTTTATTTAATTTAATTTTTTATGATTATTTGGATCTTTTGTTTGGGAAATGTTTACCTATCAAGAGTAATATTTCATTGATGATTGAGTGATAAAATTTGCCGCATGAAATCAATGACAGAGTCAGAATTTTATTAATATACAAATTTTTAAAAATTTTTAAGTCTAAAACTTGTAGCTGTTTAATTTTTTGTTTAGCTCCTAAATCCGTTTTACACCAAAATAAAAAAACATTGGTCTTCTTCTATATGGTATCGTTTGGTATGCAGACGGGACGAGACAGGACGGAACGGAACGGAGCAGGAGCAAAGATGCCTCGGATGAAAACAAGGAGGAAGAAGAAGGAGACAGAGAGATTATAATTTTGCGTTCCACGGATGTGGAACGAGTCGTTCCAGGGGGGTGAGGTGGAACGAAATTTCACCCAAAACTTGTTCCGTGGAACAGCTCGTTCCACCTGTTTTAGGCACACCAAACGTGGGACGGAACGCTTTGTCTCACTCTGTTCTGTCCCGTCCCACGTACCAAACGGTACCTATAGTCTTAGGTGTACGAGAGACGCGGTACGAAGCATCTGCTTGAGAATCTTTTTTCTCTACAGCCGTTAGATGAGACGAGCAGGTAGCTTTGTTGTTACATCATTAAATTGATAAAAATAAGATGAAGGGTATAGAGTATAAGGTTCGAAATATTCTTCTAATGGCATATTGTATAATTGAAATCTAGCTTTGTTGACTATATAAACATAGAACCAACCAAATAAGACAAGTTATATGTCACACAAGAATAACAAAACAAAAGCAAATCGTCCTATGAACAACATTTTAGAATTCAAAAGAAAATCGTCCTGTAAACAACATTTTAGAATTCTAATCACCACTCATTACAACAAACATTAAAAAAGAACCTTATTCTAATTCTTTAAAGTAATTTATTTGAAACAAATGAATAAACGTAATTTCTCACGGGTTATTTTATTTAAAAAATAATAAAAAATAGGAGAGTAACCCTTTTGAAATTTAATTAGGAGTTAATGATGGAAAAAGGAGGACGGGGAAATAGCCGCGTGACGCGTGGGTCTTTGGAGGGCCCTATGCCTTTGGATTTTTATAATTTTTCCTTCATCAGTTTCTTAAATGACAATGATGATTTATTTATTTGATGTGGTTTTTTGTTTACAAAACAAAAATATATTGTCCTTATTCTGAAAAAAATTAAAAGAGGTTGTACTTAATTGGTAGATTGGTCACACGTCTTGGTTTTGCAGAGGGATCGTCCACCGACACAAAAAATTGGGACAGTTCCGAGTTGATTCTAGGTTCGAAAAAATTTCCGAAAATTTCGAACCAAATTAAAAAAAATTCTGATCTCAAATAAAAAAAAAATCCTAAATCAAAATTTTCAAAAATTTGAGGAGGAAATATCAAATCCATCCCGAAATTTTGGTACAAAATTATATGTTGTCTACTCAATTTTTCAGTAATTTCATACTGAATCGAAATATTATATATAATTATTACATATTTATATTTATATATATATATATTATATTTGAAATGTTGCTAACCACTAGTAGCAATATAATTGAGGTGGTCTATGGGCAGCAACCATAGCCCTTTATTGCCACATTTGCTGATATGAAATTCCTACAAATGTGTCTATTTCTTCAACATGAAATCAAAAAATTGTATTATTAGTTTTCGAACATATTAGGATTGTAACTTATTTTTTTGCTTTTTTGTTTGTTACTTATTTTATTTTGGTTACATGTTAATTTAACTTGCTATGAATGATTGCTATTTCAATTTGTATGAAATTTGGGAAAACCAAATCATCCCGAAATACCGAAAATATTTTGAGAATCCTAAAAATTGAAAATACCAAAATTTTAATTTAGAATTGGTCTTTAGATTCCTGTTCGAAAAATTTTCGATTTAAAATTCGGAATCCCTATTTTCGGTTTGAGATAACATAACAACCCCCCACGGCGCGCCCGCTGTTGATTCTACCGCGTGTGTCCAACTGGATTGGGACCATCGTAGGCAACTAGGCATTGATCTTTTGTCAAGCTTTTGTTTGGTTAGGGCTTACTGGTAGGGGATTTGACTTTTATTCTTCTCTCAATAACAATCGGGTGCAACAATAATAGTCGAGGATCTTATGTATATACTCTTGTAACTTGTTCGCCAAATAACTAATAAACACAACGTCACTCACTGTCAAGTCGACTTTCAACAAAAAAATTTATTTTCCTCTGTTCTTATCAAATGCAAAAGTAAAAGACCATAAAACCCTGGTTATCCAATCACAAAGAGAACAAGACATGCGGGACTCCATGTGTTTTTCACTATGAAATGATGTTTTGAGAAACTTATTCAAGAAGAACCTTTTTACGAAAGAGTAACAATTTGGCACTAAAAAAATTCTCATGTTATACTTCAAACTTTCTATAATTAGAAAGAAAAATACACTTATAAGAGTGTGAAATAACTTTTTTGGGGTGCTAATAATAGTTCACAAAACTAAACTGAAAGTACTAAAATTGCTACCTTTGTTAGAATGAAATCTACAAAATTGTGGGCTCTTAAAAAACACTGAGCCCAAGTTTAGCGTTTTAAGAACCCAAACCCACCAAGGATATATGGGCCTGCAATTGACAACTAAGAACTGCCAATCTGCCGGATAACATTTGTGTGAACTGTAAAGTGTTGATTAATTCTCAAATTTTTACAACAATGGTGGCTTGAACTCTAACTTCTTAGCCAATCTATATGGGTCCCAACGAACATCTATCAGTTAATTTGATTTAAAAGGGGAAGAAAAAGAAAGCGAACAATTGGACATACCAAAAGCGATCAAACCACCTAATGTTGCAGTTATTGGTTATGCCCCGGCACATGGGAGGAGACATCCAGTGCCTGTACAGATAGCAAAAGGCACAAAGCAATAAATCAGCTAAGAAAAGAGACGAGAATCCAACTGTGAGTGGTTCGTGAGCAACTGACAACCGTTGATTAGTTTAAGCATTGCGGTGAGTCCTGATTTAATCATTTGGTTTCAATCACTCAACCAACTCGTGGACGACTGTGTTTGCAAAAATTCTTATAGATGTAACAGTCTACCTTCAGTTAATAATTATAGTGTTGCTGCATTTTCTCTTTCGCCTTCTTGCCCTTCTCAAGATCCTTTCCGTCTCTTCCATTACCTCCTCAGCCATATCTACGTCTCCCCAAAGGAAACGAATACGATTACAATTACTTTTTGAGCGTAACAATTATATGCTTACATACGTGTAAAGATATAGCATAGTAAAATTTAATGGATACTGCAAATGCACTTTCACAAAAATACCTGTTTCCTTCTCGCCGAACAAGCAGGAAAAAGCTCCATCAATCTCCTCGTCCGATTCAATAATAACTCTGCATTCCCTTTCCTGCATCATGCATTGTCATCACCATACGGACCACGATACTAGACACGGTAGCCAAACTGTAACTAATACCCAAATGAGTAACGAAAAGACTTTTATGCAGTACATAAGATAGAAGGGAAAGGTTTGTTTCAAGTGCAATAAGAGAAATGACTCAGTTCACACCTATAATTAAGCCAATCACCTTAATGCCAGAAACATGTATAAATCAGAGAGCATACTGTCTCTCTAATCAGCACAAAAGATAGGGAGAACGAGAAACGAAAATTAAAGGCTACCTGTGGAATGGAAGTAAATCTGCTAGGCTTTTGTACTTGCCGGAACCCATTATCACTCAAGGTAGATGTTTCCACCTTTACAGACTTCCAGCCTCCTCTTTCTATCTTTGGAACTACAACTGCTTGCACACCAACCTTCGAGGCACAGCTGAACTGAAATCAAGAGAAGGGTTTTTTAAAGAATGGTGCTACTGGTGATCAATGCACCTCTATCTCAAATAAATAATATAAGAACATTAAATTTCTACGAAACAAATATTGACACCGTCTCTCATACCTTTTAATGGGCTGTGGCTTTCCTTGTAGAAGGACAGACGCAGGATATGCAGAACCCTGCATTTTCTATGTATAAAAATTTTTCCGGTAACAAATCATAGCCCACGAATGCTTGAGTACGTAAGTGAGACGTAAATGGAAATATTAGTCACCTGTGGTGGAAGTATTGTGGGTACTTCACAATTTTGGGTGGAGGTACTCTGATTCTTGGTGCAAAGCAATTTCTGCAAGCAAACAAAGATGAGACAAATGGATTGAATAGCCTCCTACACATGGAATGTTTAATTACCGATAGTTCAATGGCTCGACAGTAAATGTCTGGAAATAGGAAAGTTCAAGCATTTCTTGTGTCAGGAAAGAAAGAAAAAGTTGGAAGTTTATTAAACACTTGCTCCATCTCATCTCAATGAAAACTTAGGATTTCAAAATCGATGATTTCAAAGTCATAAATGTTTGCATGTGTCACAGAGCTCTCCATCATATATATCTAACAGACCTGCATTTCCTTGATGAAGGAGTCATGCAGCTTGTTTTGTGATTTCAGTAAAGCTGCTTCAGTGACTCCTATCTTTTCTGGTAAAGCTGAAAGCGCCAAGAAAATCTCCTGTAATTTGTCTTGATAGGTATTTTTGCTGAGTTCTTCAGAAATAGACTTGATGCCTCCGTCAAGGCTAGTTTTGAAGTCTTCTTGCCCCTTAATCTGCTTCACCACATATCAGTTTAGTTAGAAAGTCCAGAATCATGGACGCGTGAAGCAACTAAGCTGTAGACTTTATGTGGGCGCCATTACCATTAAGTGCAATGAATTATCTTGCGCCATCAACTTCTGCCGCATGGCTTCCACTGAATTAAAATTGAAAAAAGGATAATAATATTTGAAGTTAATAGGATCAGAAACTTTTGACACCAAGTGCAGTCGAGATCAGTTTTTCCCAAATATATTTTCCCATGAACAAGTAATATGTAAGTCCTATCGCTCAGAATGTTCTTTATTTAAAAATGTTAGTAAGTTAGAGCAATTTAACACTTAGAATAATGAGAACATGGAACAAACAAATTAAATTTATGCTGAACAATTCAACTTCAAAGCTTTAGATAATATATTTTCTCTTCAGCTCCTATATATTCAGTATGTAGAGGAATAGATTACTCACTCTCCATAGAAACTTCCTTCATCCCTTTGTTTACTTGCATTACATCACGCTGGACAGAATCCAAGATCATTCCAAACTTATTTAATGAAGTTTCCATCACTCCAATCCGGTGTTCAAACTCCTCACTATTCTGACCTGCTCAGGCATGTAAGACATTTGGTTTCCCATTAAAAGTCACCGTATGAATAAGGGGCAAGAATTTCATTGGCCTGCTATGCTTACGCAGTTACAAATTAAACATCACAATCTTTCGTAGTACTTCACATAAACTACGTTACCAATACTTAAAAGCCTTTCTAGACACTATTTAATCATGTCCAACTTTGGATGAAACTTACATCGATGATCTGAAACAGAAGTGGAACTCCACTTGCGCATGAGGTTGGTGGAAGATCTTGAGATCTGCAATTGACTTTCGTCACGTGCATGACTAATTGGGGGTAAGTAAGCAACTTTCTTCACAGAATTCTCTCGTTCTTGAGAGCCAAACCTCTGCAGAGATAGTATGAACAGAAGTAAGACTTTCAAATGAGAACAGAGTCCAATAATCAGTCCAACTAAGTTCTGAGTAAAAGAAATGACAGTGAATGGTCTCTACTTCTTTGAATTATCTGTTCATAAAAATAAAATGATGAAGACACAACTTGAGTTTCTTTTTCTCCACTTTGATAACAAGCATATAAGAGCTTAACACGTGGCTCGAAGCTGAAATGAGAATTAACCTGATCGTTCGTGAGAATATCACACTGAGAGTTCTGAGAGAGTTGAGAAAACATGTTATGCTGAGATGAGAGTCCCTGAGAAAATGACTGCTCTGATGGTTGAGAGCGAAGCTGCGCTGCTTGTGGTCCATTTGGTACAGCATTTGGTCTCCTGCTTAGCAATTTAAAAGAAATATATATATATATATATATGTAAGATATCAACGATGAGATTTCAGGAAAATCCACAGTATTAGCCTAATCACAATTATTATTTTAACTCATTTAATTTGTTACGTATTTGCTCGAATTTCACATAAATAGATGTACGTTGCTGTGAGTATATTGGAAAGAAAATGAAATGTTAGATTTTCTTTTCCCATCAGAAAGTGAAATCGATACCTACAACGAAAGGCTTAGTGAAACAAAATCTGTGAATCCAATCATCTTAACCTCTTTCAATTTTCTATATTTTCTCCGTGATCAAACAGAGAGCCAATTAGGACTGTAAGCGACTGAAATTCGTATGGTTCACAGCTCAAAATTTATTTTTCCGAGCATATTGCCATAAAAATCAAACAAAAGATACCGTGAATTACAAACCGAACCTAATATTCATAAGAAAAAGTCAAAATCGAGCTCAGAGTTTACTCCAATAAGTGAAAATCCTAAGTGATAAGACGCTACAGATTCAAAACTCGATTTTCTAAAAAAAATTCCTACATTTTTCTCGCGAGCCAAACAGAACTCTCGTGCATGAAAGGATGCAGAACTTAGATCGAACCTAGAGAATTTGTCATCTAAATACAATAAGCAAGCGAAAAATCGAATCTAACAAGCTCGTTAAGTGAAAACCTCATGAAACATTGAAAATTAAATATTTGAACTTCGACATTTCTGAGAATAATTTTCCTGCGTTTTCGAGGGAACCAAACAGAACATTGCGATTGAAATTTTAGAAAACTGATAGCCGAACCTTGTGTGAGGAGGAAGGACCGAGATAGAGTTGACATCGCAGGCCTTGTTGATCTTCAACTTCATTTGCTCGAATCAGTACGATTTTGAGGCCCGTTTGTATGTACGGAAATTGGAGATCGAAACGGAGTTGAAACTCTATGAAGATTTGAAGAGATATCGACCTTTGATTGGCAAAAGACTAACGATCTGACGGTTTGAGATTTTTGAATTTGAAAGACTCCGCCGCAGGGGTTGTGATGAATCAGAGCTTTGAGGGCTGGTTTGGTATTGCTGTGCTTTGAAAAAAAGCTGCTTCTGCTGTGCTGTGAGAATAAGCAGCTGTGAAATAAAGCAGCAGAGTGTTTGGTAAACTTTTTTGTAAAAGTGCTTTTGAAAAAAAAAAGCAGTATTAGAGTGTTTGGTAAACTTTTATGTAAAACAGATGTGAAAAAAAGCCAGTTTTTCAAAGCTAGGTTTTGCAGCTTCTTGTTTTTGGCTTTTTTTCATCCAAAACTGTGAAAAAAAGCTGAAGCTGAGTGTTTACCAAACACAAAAACAGCTCCCAGCTTTTTTTGACAGCAGCTTTTTTCAGAATCACCTCAGTACCAAACCAGGTCTGAGAGGGCTACTTCATTATTCGCATCCTGGCGGGAAAGGGATTTGAGAGTTGCCCGGCAGGTTTAATGGGCCGAGATACGATCACAATTAACTGAGGCCTATTATTGATCCAATATTTTAGGCTTATGAGTCTAAAGGCCTTTCGAAATTTGACTAGCTACAGAAGAATGAGGATCATCTTTGTGGGAAGATTATCCAATTATATCTATTCATTGTATATTGTGCGGTAAAAAATTATTATAATTTTTTATTTATTTAAAATTGAATATAAACAGTACTTAATAAAAATTGACTGCACGATGTACGATAAATAAATGTGATTAGAGGATCCAACGAGGATCCTCTCTTTAACATAAGATGCTTATCACGTATTCTAAGGTGCGGAACAAATTTGATCCATTAGATCAAATATGAGCGGTTGAAAATAAATTCATCAAAATAAGCTTAGAGTGAAACCGACCGTAAATAACCTATCATTAAATCAAAACAGTACCCGATAATAGTTTTAAATTTTCTCAATTTAAACTCTCTCTCTTCTCGAAGACAGTTACCTTCTTAAATTTGTCTATCATTCGCCCAAGACTTTCCATCTCCCGCAAGCGATTTCAAACTTCCTTCCCATCATAAACGTCACTCCTGTTCGAAACCCAGTCGTCTAGAAGAAATCGATGAAGGGCTTAAAATGTCCTCGTCGGGCGTAGCACCTGTTGTAATTGGTCAGTTTCTGCTCCAATGTTAGCTACGGTCAGGCTTAAATGAGGTAGTGGCATGCTTGTAAACAAATGGAAGTTTATTTCTAATGAAATTAGCTGACAAAATGGGATATCTGTCAGGGGCATTGGTTGGAAAAAAAAGAAAAAAGAAAAAGGGTTTTGCATGTCGACTTTTTTCCTACTCATGAAGCTTTAGTTTTTGTCCTTGTTATATTGTATTTTGTTATTTTCATTAAATTTCAGACCCTTTACATTAAATAAGTTATAAAATTATTAGATAATTTTTTTGTTAAAATAAACTTAGTTCAAACTCTCTTTTGATTAGTATTCCATCTTTTTTAATCTTTTGTATTAGGCTTTATACTAATAGCCCAAACCGAACGTAAACGAACGTCTCATCCCGCTCATCCTCTTTCACTCTCTTCCAACAAAATAAAAAATAAAATTTCTCCCTCTCTCTCTCTCACGTCGTCTCGTCGCCGCGAAACAGCCGCCATAGAGTTGGGATCGAAAAGGACTACCGACGGAAATTTTAATTTCTCTAAAATCTGAGGTATAAGTTGGGAGAATTGAAAACCGAGCAAACGGAACCGGAACCGGAACCGGAACCGTGCCCACCCCACCTCTGCAGGTACCCGACGACGACATCTCTTCTTGCATGTATATGTATATATAATATATTCGTTTGAACTTCTTAACAAACTTTTTAGTTATTTTGCCTAGTTGCTGAGATTTGAGCGAGAGTCTTAGCGCAACAGAAAAGTTTCTACTTCGTGACCGAAAGGTTTTGAGTCGTGGAAACAGCCTCTTGCGTTGGTTAGGCCACTTACGATAAACTGTTTGACCTCCTGACCAACCTTGTTATCTTGGGGTCACCCTTTTCTTTAGTTGCTGAGATTAGGGTGATTGTAATTCTGCTCGTGTTTGGTAATTTTTGGACGAATTCTTGGTTATTTTATGTTTTTGTTGTTCTTACGGCTGAGACATTGAATTTCAGTTTTTCTTTTTATATTTTTTGATATTTTGAAAAAGGTTGAATTTTGTGTATTGGTCTGAGAATGTGATATTCTGACAATGATTTGCGAATTTTCTGAGCGTCAACTTTCGATATTGCCCAAGTATACTGCTCTTCACCATCAAAGCTAACAATTTGCTCATATATATATACACATAGAAGCTGAAGCAGAGCCTTCCTGCTATGATACCAATGACTCCGAGTTTCGTATTTGAACCCCCAAGCGATGAAGAATATTCCGATGAAGAGCAAGGTCTTGGCGATGGCAATTTTCAATCCTCATGGGACTTCGCATCTTACTCTGAAATAGTCTCCCAAGACCATGCCCATGGAAGCACCACCTCTGTCAATTTCAAAATTAAGAAAGCTTTGCAGCAGCAACCAATCTCACACCAGTAACACTGCTGACGAAGACAACGAATCCAACAAACAAGTAACTAGTTGACCCTCTATTTATTCCACTTTATTTGACTACTGAATATTAATTTATTTTATGTAAATTCTCAAACATTTTCAGTGCAGTAGTAGTAAATATCATTGGTTGTTGTGGATTTGTTTAGGAAGATTGTAATCAGCTAGATTCCAGTGATGAAGAAGACCAGGAGGAAGCTTTTAATGATGACCATGCGAAGCCCACTCCAATTCAGGTTAGAATTATAATCCCCCATTATTCTTTTCTCATGTTTCTTGTTGCTTTAAACCACTTATTATTCTTTCAAACTTGTTAATATCTATATAGATTTCACTCAAAATGTATTGATTTATAACTCCACTAAAATCCTTTAGATTCAATTCAGTACAACACCCTATAAAAGTTTCAGTCAACATTGGCTGTTGTGGTTCCTAAGTGGGTACGAATAACGCAAAAATTAATGATACTATTGTACATATTCTATTCATCATCAATAAAGTGTGCTGTGAGACCATACAATTCATGTTTTGAGTGCTTGTCGAACTGTCGGTGGTAAGAGAAATTTGGGGTGCATTCAATTCTTTCTTCAAATGAGCCTTTGATTGGTCATACATTCTAAAAAAGTTCTAACAATAGTCCTCCTACAAGGCACACAAAACAATGGAATTACAATACTATAAACCGATTGAACCCCATATGCTCAACGGTACTAAATGTCGTCTCATTAATAACAATTATCTCTACACAAGCTTTTAAACAATCGGATTGGTTGAACACCTTAGCAACCAACTTTTTACCTCCTTTCTTATCCCCACAAAGATTTTTTGACTTTGATTCACATTCTCGGGATAATATCTACATTGACTCTCAAGATGTTTTTCATGCCAGACTTTCTATTTACACTCGAATCGGCCGCATAGTCACCCAAGTTTCATCCATCCTTGGAAGGAAAAAACATTGATGGTATCAAAATTGATGTGCAATTTAGTAAAGGAGATACTAGTGCTAGATACCTAAGACAGTCCTTAGATCATAGATAGAGTGTTAATAGATTTTTTATATGTTGATTATAATGAATATTGTTGCTTGTTAATTTTTTTGGATTATTATAAGCAGACTGAAGACAAAGACAAAGAGGAAGGCGATGATGCTCCACCTAATGCTGCCGATGACAATAATAAGCCCTTTTTTGCCCCATCAGAGGGAGTTTTGTTTCATGCAAATTCATTTATGGAGTTGAACTTGTCTCGCCCTTTGCTTCGCGCTTTAGAGAAATTGGGCCATACCAAACCCACTCCAATTCAGGTTCAGAATTCTATACCAATGACAGACAATTCATTTCTTGTTATTCTCCCATAAGATGAGTTATACTGAATTATTTGGTTTTGTGTAGGCAGCATGCATACCAGTGGCCCTTGCTGGTCGTGACATATGTGGGAGTGCCATTACTGGTTCCGGGAAGGTAAATTAGTTTGTTGAGATCTCTTTTAACATAGTTACCTAACAGTTGTGGTTAGGGATTGTGCTATTGGTTCTAGTTGGATCAAAATTGTCTTCACATCATAGCTTATTTTCTATTTTGATCAAATCAGTTTATACATTTGTTGTCATTTTTGCTCAGACTGGTGCTTTTGCGTTACCAACTTTGGAGAGACTGTTGTATCGCCCCAAGCGGCTGCCAGCTATAAGGGTCCTTGTTTTGACTCCGACAAGGGAACTTGGGGTTCAGTAAGTTTAACATAGTTCAACATTTCTTATTATTGAGTTTATATTAGTAGATTTGTTTCTTATTTAAATGACCATATTTTTTTGTGTGGATATTTTTGATTGCCTATTTCAACCATATGACCATTTTATATTTGTCAATATTTTTGATTGCCTATTTCATTGTAATTGTATTCTTATTGTTCCTCAGTTCCCTTATTATCTTATTCCTATTTGAAACTTTTATTATTCTTGTCTTCCCTAATTAGTTTTGGATCTTAACACTCTAATCTCAGGGTTCTGAGTATGATTGAGAAACTTGCTCAGTTCACGGATATCAGATGTTGCCAGGCTATTGGAGGGCTTCCAATGAAGGTTTGATTTTTTTTTTTTGCTTTATTATGCCTTATTCTGAGTTTCGTGATTTGAGGCGATAGGGACTCTTGCATATTTTAATATGATGGTAACTGGATTACTTAGTTTTTTTTTCAGACATCACAGAAGTTTCCTTTTCTGGGGAGTAATATTAACATGTCATGTGGCTCATTACATAATGCATCTCTCATGTGGCTCATTACATAATGCCATCTAGTCAACTTCTTTTCATCATTTTTGGTGAGGAGAGTCATTTTCTTACCATGTCGCTCATTACATAATGATGCCATTTTTTTAATCAGGAACAAGAGATAGCCTTGAGATCAAAGCCAGATATTGTTGTAGCTACTCCAGGACGCATTATAGATCATTTACACAATTCTATGTCTGTGGATTTGGAAGATCTTGCTGTTCTAATTCTTGACGAGGCTGATCGACTTTTAGAGATTGGGTTTAGTGCTGAAATTCGTGAGCTGGTATGCTTCTGACCTCTTTTGGTGCATAGATGATAACATTTGAGAGTTAGCTGATTTTCTGGAAAACAAAAAATATAATTTATTGTCTGTCTTTTTTCAAAGTATTTCAGTTCATAATTTACTGTTTGCATGCTAGATTCGTCTATGCCCCAAAAGGAGACAGACCATGCTATTTTCAGCTACGATGACTACTGAAGTTGATGAACTTGTCAAGCTTTCTCTTACCAAGCCACTACGCCTCTCAGCCGACCCATCTGCTAAACGGCCAGTGGCACTAACGGAGGAGTAATTCGTTTACACTCGTTTGTGCTTTGATAAAACTTTACTAATATATGTTGCAGAATTTGACTCTATAATTCAATCTTTAGCATGTGTATATTAAAAATTCTGTAGGATTGATTACCATTTTGACTGTTGCCATTATTATCGTCATGTAGGGTGGTCAGGATACGACGAATGCGTGAAGTAAATAAGGAAGCAGTTCTACTTGCACTGTGTTCGAAGACATTCACTTCTAGAGTGATCATATTCAGGTTCGTATGGTAACTGTTATCCTCTTAATGAATAATAATTGAGTTTAGTCCTCCTTATATTGGTTGACAACTTGGATATCTTTCATCTATTCTCTGTATAATCATACTTCATCTTCTGTCAGTGGCACAAAAGTAGCTGCGCATAGGTTGATGATATTATTTGGGTTAGCTGGCTTAAAAGCTGCTGAGTTCCATGCAAACCTTTCTCAACCCCAGCGCCTACATGTGAGTAACTTGCCTGTTTGTTTGTCTGGGTTCTTTGTGTAATTAGTTACTGAAGGATTGTTCTATATATGCATATATAATTGCAACATGCTCGATATATGTGATCGTCCCTCGATAATATCTTTACTTCCTTGTTCTAATTCATGGCAATCCTACTTTTTTATTGTTTGTGTAGGCTTTGGAACTCTTTCGGAAGAAGGAAGTTGATTTTTTGATTTCAACTGAATTGATTGCCCGCGTAAGAACTACTACACATTTCTTGTCTGCTAGATGTTAGTGAGCATCTTGTTCACTCATGCCTTTGTATTTGAATCTAGCTCCATCAGACTTTGGCTGATATTGGGCATTGTACCGATACTTAAGGTCACTACCATACTGCACCTGCATCTTGTAGGAAATTACACATTCACTATTTAAAAAATTGCTGATTGATTGTGGACTCTCACATAAAGAGATGAGATGGGCAAAACTTAACATAAATTTTTCAGCCAGATTTTATCGGAATATGGTGCCCGTAATAATCTATTATTATACTACGCCACCCCTCATGGAGTCCTCTTGTTAGCCTGCATATGTTATTTTTATCCTATATGCATTTGGTGGGCAAGGGAAGAGAGGGTTGAGGTTCTTGGATTGTGATCTCTTCGTCTGTATTTTTTTACTACATAAAGTACTAAAATGTTTCTACTTTATAGAAATTAATAAATCATTAACTTCTGTAGGGCATTGACATAGATGGTGTTCAGACTGTTATCAACTATGACTGTCCTACAAATCTTTCAAGGTAATGACTGAATCTCTCACCGTTACAATGTGCTCATCATAGTTCTACCCTAATGTACTGTTACTGCATTATTGCATTTAGAATTTTATTGTTTCTGGTGTGTGTGCTTCTATTCCACTGTATTCTCTTTTGTGCTTCTTTTGACTTCCATCTTTCCTGTTTCTTGGTGCAGCTATGTTCATCGAGTGGGCCGTACTGCAAGGGCTGGCAGAGACGGATATGCTGTAACTTTTGTGACAGATAATGACCGGTCTCTTTTAAAAGCCATTGTAAGGGTTCATATATTTTATTTAATTTTAACTTTCCTAGCATCAACCTTTTCATTTGTAGCTATAGAAAACTTATCCAATTACAAACTGATGTTGGCGGTTTCTGTAAAATTATGATTTTAACCTATCTGTTACATGGGGAATTCGATTTTAATAGGAAAAAAGGGTTGGTTCAAAACTGAAGAGTCCAATTGTTGCTGAACAATCAATTACCAAGTGGTCCCGGGTTATTGAGGAAATGGAAGATCAAGTGGCTGCAATTCTTCTAGAGGAAAGGTTTGTGTCTTTCTTCACAGTGGTTTACTTATTTAATTATCGCTTGTGAAACTGTTATAAATTGTGAGCATATGTGCAGGGAAGAACAAGCACTAAGAGATGCTGAAAGGGAAGTAACAAAGGTATTTAGCACTGCCTTCCCTTCGTTGTCTTTTTGTGAGCACAGTCTACAGTCCAATTGCCTTTCATTCTGTAATCATTGCTAGGAATGTTGATGTTATCTGTAATTGCTCTGATTTTATGTTGTGGCTTTTACAGGCAGAGAATATGATAGTACACAAAGATGAAATTTTTTCACGTCCGAAGAAGTCCTGGTTTCAGTCAGAAAATGATAAGAAGAAGGTAGTGCACGCAGCGAAGGTAATTTCTTTTGTTTTGTCAACATTATTTGTTTATTCATATACAGTTTTCTTTTATTTTATTTTTACTGGGGATTCCTTTTGATTTTAACTTACTACGAATTTGATATTGTTGTGATTGGCTCATATTATGAGTTGGCAACAATTTCATCTCAACCATGTGGAGTGCTAGCTACTTTCGACTAAAGAAAGGGACAAAGAAAAAGGGGGACATCATTATGATGTCTAGCCCTTGATTTGTGGCTTTTACAAAGGCAAAGATTTGGCCTTGTGTGATGAGCCGAAAGAGAGAAGAGGAGAGAGAGAAGGAGGGACCTTTTGTTTATATTAAGGCATTTGGTTATGCCTTTGTGATGGGAAAAGAGAGCATCCAAGGGGGAGAGCATTCGGCTCTCCCATGGAAGGTTGAACATGGGTTGAGAGAAAATCAAGAGAGCTAGAGTGAAAAGTATTCTAGTGAAAGAACTCTTGGGGTAGAGTGAGGTTTTTGGGAAAATTCTGTGAGTGGGTGTACAAGGAATATGGGATTGGGTTAAGTCGATTTAACTCACGTATACTTGTACTGTTATTCTCATAGTGAAGAGCAATATCTCTCCGGGGACATAGGCATTTTTTTTTGCCGAACCTCGTAAATTTCTCTGTGTCTTTATTTCTTGTATTTTATTTTGTTCAACTGTGTGTGAAATTGGTGAGGTTGTAATCTGAATCTCGGTTCCGCACTGACGAACGGGCCAAGGCACAACAAATATTTGCAAAAATATCCTTGATATGTCCTCTTTGATGTTTTTTTGATTAAATGGAGCTTATGTTTGGGAAATGGAGCTTATGGGATGTCAATTTCCCACGGGTACCCTGAGAGAGAGTCTGTTGGACGTAAACTTTAGCTTGGTTAAGATCCACTGTGTAATTCAGTGGAGACTCTTAAAATGCATGATTCTTTATATATATATAAGGAAAGGAAAAAGAAAAAACAATTGGCCATTCAATTCTATATGGAAATTAATAATCTTACGGTTGTGGCATTCGGTAAGGAAATTTAGTGGACAGTGGGTTCTTGTACAAGTAAACCTTCCCCAATTCTCCTGCGTTTTAGTTCTTTTTGCTGATAGGAGTAAGAAACACTATTTAGTGCTATCTTAGATCTTGAACACGGTCTTAATTTGCATTAAGACGATACTTTTGTACTGCAAATACTTTTTTTTTTTTATGGGAAGTAACAAAGTACAACATTACATCTGATTTTTTCATCTACAGGCATCCCTTGGAAGAGAAAAGCGTTGTGGAAATGATGTAATCAGTGCTCAGCAAGCCGAAGACATAAAAATGAAAGAAAAGAGGAAGAGGGAGCGTGAGGTGACTATAATATCGCAGCTGAGTCTGACTTTTCAGTTTCTATGTTCCATGGTAGTTTTTTTGTTTAGCATGTAACTCGATCCATCGTGAACAGAAAAATTTGCCTCGCAAGATACGTCGGAAATTGGAAGCAGCTAGAGAAATGTTAGAGGATGAAAATCAGCTCAAAGTAAGTTCTTCTCTCCCACCCCCACTCCCCCTCTCGAGCACACACAGACACACAGAGAAGTTACATACACAATTTTTAATAGCACATAATAATCAGTAAGTAAGAACTGCAGGGCAGTGACAAGTTTAAAGAGAAGACAGGAATGCCGCTTGTTGACCGTTGCTTACAGACGGGCAAAAGCCATGAAGGCTGCACAAAAAACAACAGATGTTGGCATGACTTTGAAGAAGTCTAGCAAGAGATGTAATCTTCCTCCACGAAGAACTCAGTCTAGAACAGATGAGATGCGGGACCTGTTCCACAGTGACATAACTGAAAGGAAGCATAACAGAAAGCTTGGTGGGGCGGGAATGAAAAAGTCCAAGAATTCCTTCAAGAGCAATTCAAGGTATGCAGCTCCTTAGCTTTTGTACATCTTTTTTGCTGTTGCATTTTTGTCCAATCATTTTTGTTGAGTCTAGGATTTTCATCACTTGAAAACGCACGCATGATTGTAGGTATTCACATGTGTATTTATATTTCTCGTCTTTAATATGAAGCTTCACTTTCTATTGTTTTCGTTGTTCAGGTGCAAACGCAGATAAAGGAGCACAAGAAGCGTCTGTTGTGGATGCTTAAGTGTAATGGAGAGCTATATTATGATATGATGCATATCTATCTAATACATTATCCTTTGTTGGAGAGAGGATTATAATGTCTATTTATTTTGGACATGGATTTCGTATTTATGTTAGAACTTGAAAAGTCATCTCATGTATTTTGTGCTTAGTTCCTTATTTTTTGGGTCTTGAATTATGAGATGCAAAATTTGTCAGATCCCAAGACCCAGTGTTTTCCGAGGATTTGGATTGATAATGCTTGCTTTAGGCCATGTCTGGCATGCCGTAATACACCGGCGATGCTTGGGATACGAGCAGGGGTTTCAAAAAGTCGATGTTGATCTGGAGAGGAATCGGCTCAGTGCCGCAACTCTGCCCGTGAGACTTTGGACCTTCCTCACTGTACTGGGGGATTGCATCTCAACGATGGCCGTTATCTGGTTCGGATTGGCTTTGATACCTCTCTGAGTCACCAAATATCCCAAGAACTTTCCGCTTTGGACACCGAAGACGCACTTCTCCGGATTGAGTTTCATCTGGCACTTCTCCGGATTGAGTTTCATCTGGCACTCCGCCAAGTCATCCAGTTTCCTATGTTTTTTTTGAAAACCCTACTTAAAGGGATTGAGTTTGAGGCAGGCTTAAACCCAAATCCCCTTTAAGTATACTTTCAATATGGTTGAGATACGTTGTCAATATAGGTCATTCGCAAACCCTACACAAAAAATGTGTACCCACTCAAGTCATTCATGATAAGGTAACGGGAAGGCAATTTGAATTTCGAACTTGGATGTATACGGAAGATCTATGTGAATGAAACTCTATAAAGTTATGGATATGTGAATGAAAATTCTATGTGTTGCATCTGTTGGTGTCTTGAAATTGTGTTTTGGTTTCATGAATATCAAAAATACTCGATGCTCTGTTTAGGAAATAATGATAGTAGCCATGTTTAGTTCTAGAAATAGTCAGTGTTCAGTTTAAGAAATAGTGATAGTATCAATGTTTAGTTTAATAAATAGTGATCGTACTTGTGTTGAGCTTAGAAAATAGTTAGTATTCAATTTAAGAAATAGATATACCAATGTTCATTTTAAGAAATAATGATAGTACTTGTATTTAGTTTAGAAATAATTAATGTTCAATTTAACAAATAGTTAAAGTAGTAGTGTTCATTTTAAGAAATAATAAAAGTACTAGTGTTCATTTTAATGTATATAAATATTTTTGAGTTTAACTGCTTAATTAATGTTATCCTATTTTATGTTCATATTTTGTATTATCTGAATTTTATTATAAAACTAATAAATATAAAAGAGAGATTTTCCTAGCTTATCAAGCTAAGATGGCCGCCTCCTCCTTTACGTTTTTTTTTTTTTAAATTTAGTAGATAATATCGTTTGTTCAAATAAAAATCAAGATGGAAAACAGGAGGTGGCCATTTAGTGGCCGACTCTACCCCATTACATATGGCATTCTTCCCAAGTTATGAAAAGAAAAAAGGAAAGAGGGAGAGTGAAGCATGTAAGGATAGAGGGATGACAAAACTAATAAGAAGATAAAAAGAACAGAAATGAAGACAAGAACTCACGGGTATTTGAGAGATATGGAAGCAAGTGCAGAAGGGATTGACAAACTAGATACTTTATTTCTGTCAACCAATGGTAGTGTTATAAAAGACGAGCTACTGGAAAAGAAGAAACAAGATCGGATATAATTTGATCATTATGAACAATTCCAAAATCTTTATAGACAGAGCCAATTATTAATTTCCAACGAGGGGCAAATGGAATCCTATACATAAATCAGTTAATAAAAGAATAGAAAAAACTTTTATTGTGTCGCTTAAGTTGTATAGGAATTCTTGAAACCAAGTGTTAAGAATAACAAGTTCCCTTCTTCGATGGGTATAATAAAATAATTTTTTTTGTTAACATTGCGAAGAACAAGTCATTGATTCTTTTGATCGGAATTCATATTGAAAATAATCAGAAATCTAGGAATTCTAATCGTAAAAATCGCTTTCGATTATTTCAAATTAATTTAATTGAAATCAAGACAAATTAAATAAAAATAAATAAAGCAAATAAATAAAATTGGGATACTATATAATATACATTATCACTATATTTATTATATATACGTAGTTAAATCTATTTCTATATATATAGAAAAGAAATATGATGATACTATTGTAGATTGATCTATATTAATCTATATTAAATTAACCTGCATTACAATACAAAAGGTGGCCTTCAAGGCGAGGCTTTAGCAGTTTTGTCTGTTTTTTTTGGGAGTAGGCAGATGCTTGCCTATCTTTCGAGGCGCAGGCCAAGGTGCATATAAGGCATTGTGACACACCCCGATCGAGATCAGGGCATGTTGGCCGTGACGTGGAAGTGACGTAACCATGTGCACAATGCGGAAGCTAATAAAATAATAATAAAAGTACGAATAAATAAAAACCAGCTTTACACAAAGTAAGAACATACATGTGCAAGCGTAAGTGTGAAAAACAAAGTTCAGAGCTCGAAGACCTAATGCAGTCTGGGAGAAATAACACTACAAAAACACACCCAAAGGTGGTCCTACACTGGTGATAATCTGTTAGATATGCCAGGGAAATCCTTTGGGGAGCCACCAAAAGTGCTAGCCAACTAGAACCTGAAGAGGCGCAAAACAAAAAGTGTGAGTGGGCAAAAACAAAGTTTTTCAAAAACCATTTCATAAACAAGTTCTAACCCTTCACCGTAAAACCTGTATACTTCCCAGAAAAGTAGAATATACATATACATACATACATACATATATATATATATATATATATATATATAAGTCATGCTCAGAAATATGCCATGCCAAATGCCTCAAATAAATGCAAGTGCTCAGGAAAATGTCAAAATCAATGCCATGAATCTGTCAGCCGGAGGCACCTAACGTGACCTGTACGGCTGAATCTAGAGCTCAGATCTCCATCTCACTAACTGTACCTGCACACGAGTCGGAACCACCTAGAGTGGTCTGTACAACAGGATTGGGTGTATAAATAGTACGCTCAAGTGCTACGATCACGTGAAGGCTAGGCGACTAATCGCGGGTCACCTACGAGTCGGAACCACCTAAAGTGGTCTGTACAACAGGACTGTGCACCTAACTTGGATCTAAGATGAGCGTGTGGTGCGGGAGGTGAACATCACGTGAAGGACTGTACCCAACTCTAGGCGGGAGCACTAACACCGGGGGTGCAGGTTATGAGCTCTCTATGCATCTCAAACCACTACCGAATATAAGCATAAACCATACTCACCTGGCACTTACCTGTGCGCCCACAGCACCAGCATACATATATATATATATATGCTACTAACAATGGATAAACAAACGGCAAACATAATGCATGGCATAAAAACGTAAAAACGTTTCAATTCATTTTCTGGGAAAAGCATAAGTATATAGGTATATACGGAAAACCAAAAGCCCACTCACTGGTATGTAGAAGGGTCGTAACCCCCTTGCCTCGAGTGACCGCGCTCGTCCTCGGGATAGGTCTCACCTATATGCGAAACAACTATAAAAACGTCAATTTTTAAAACACATAACCAACATCACGAAATAACTTCTCATACAATGCTTAAATGGGATGTATAAATACACCAACGTGATCTACTCAACCTCAGGAACATCCCCATATTTTTAGAAAAATTTTCCACCGCCGCACGCACCCCCACGCCCCAGCCAAGGCATGACCACAAGTGCCGCCCACGCGCAGGTACGTGTCTGGCACACTGACGGCGTCAGTTAACGCCGTCAAGAATATTCCATTAAATCTGACGGATTCCATTAACGCCGTTAGGAATATTCCGTCCAAACTGACGGAATATTCCGTCATCTTCTCCGGCGAAGCTCCGGCGCTATCATTGGTGCCGGAAAATCGGGAAAACTTTAAAACCTTGTATCTCACTCATTTTTTAACCAAATTTCACAAAATTGGTACCAAAATGAAGCTTACAACAAGAGGAACAAATCTATACCACTTTCAAGCACTAAAACACACAGAATCTCGCCGGGAAAACACCACCAACTCCGGCCAACCTTGTAACTCACGATCCCGACGTCCAAAACCTTCAAACGAACCACCCCGAGCCTCTTAAGGACCTCACCAAGCTTCCTACAAGCTTGAAATTCCCAAAAACACAAGAATTAACGTGTGCATGAACAATGACCAAACCGGGGTATCCCGAGTTCGACGTGAAAACGAAGGTATCCTTACCTGAAATGGGTATGGTTGAACTCCTACGGACCTCACGAGCACGAATATGTAATTTGTTTCCTCGATCTATGAAGGTTTGGATGGTTTTGATTGTGTTTGTACATGTGGGGATAGAAATGGGAGAGAGAGAGGGAAAGGGACAGGGTACGGGACAGGGTACGGGGTGAGGGGATGTGGGAAGGTGTGTGTGGTCCAGAACCATCCAAACAAAACCCAAAACAACCACACAACGAAACCAACATGCTAGGGGCAAAATCGTCATTTCATCCCTACGGTTCAAAAATCTGGAACGGGTTGTCACACATTGACTAAGCATTCCCGTGATCCAAAATCTTGCTTGAATCTAATATTTTATGGAAACCTCTGTGCTCTTTAATTGTGTTGCAGTGCCGTCTTAAAGAAGACGACCGCGCAAGGAAAAAGGGTTTTTTTATTTTTCATAAAGACTTGGCCTAAAACGACGTCCGTTTTGGCCAAGTCTAATTTTTTATTTTTATAATAACTGCACTTCATTCTTCTTCCCTACCGATATTCTCTGCTATATTCACCACCCAATACCCCATTTTCTCTATATACTTCACCACCCACTACCCGGTTCTCTCTGGTATATTTCATCACCCAATACCCGATTCTCTCTGCTATATTCCACCCCATCCCCAGTTCCACAATTCCCCAGTTCCTCAAACCCTAAATTCTCAATCCCAATCCTATATTTCAATTTTTCTCCAATCGCATACCTCAATTTGTGTCAAAATTCTCTAGAGCACCACAATTTGTTTCAAAATTCAAGTTTTTTAGTATTCTAGTCTCAATTTGATCTTGATTGCTTGTTTGATTGTTGATTAATTGTTTTACAGAGTATTATCCATGGAACACCTCGCCTACGCATCCGCCTTTAATACATTGACCAATACGCAAAACCTAGGTAAAGATTTTGATATCTTGTATAGCTTTATATTCTATATTTAACTTTCTAAATACTTTTATAGAGAAACTAATAAAAATGGTTTCAAATATTTGCATTTTAATAAAAAAACCATCTACTAACTTTTATTTAATAATAAGGACAAAATAATTATTAAAAAAACATAAAAAACCACATGAGCTGGCGCATACCCCACCCCACACCACACCCCTTTAAGTTTCGTAAACAGTGTAGCAAGTTTCATAAACAGTGTCGTACGTTTTCATAAACAGTGTAGTAAGTTTCATAAACAATGTCGTAAGGTTTCATAACAGTGTCATAAGTTTCATAAACAGTATAGTACCGTTAAGTTTTATAAACAGTGTAAAAGTTTCATAAACAATTTGTATGCAGACATGCGGGTCCGCGCGTCAGAATTTTTTTTTTTAAATTTTTTTAATATTAAAATTATCTCATTTTTTTATTAAAATTTAAGTTCTTTTGTCATTTTTATTAAAATTTAAGAATTTTTCATTAAAATTTAAGTCTTTTTCATTAAATAAAGTTATGACATAGTTTTTTATTAAAATAAACTTACTGTTATGCAAATTAGTTGGTTGTGCAAAAATTTTATATGTATGTGGATACAAAAGTGTATCCATGCAGTAGACCTAAATCAAACTAGCTAGCTTCTTTACGTTACTTACCAAACTATTTGCATACGTCTACTCTGTGTGTTATACATCAATTCGATAAATCCCTTAAATGCATGTCCAGCGGAAAGTTTGTTGGGGTGTGGAAGGCCGAGGGGGCGCAGGCCGATTTCGATGCCTACGAGGGGGATTTCAGAGATTTGCAGAGAGATGAGAGATGAGACAACGGGTGTCCGTTGCAGAGAGAGATGGGTAGCTTTACGTACTGCCTTTCTGAGTGGGTTCGAGTGTCTGTATGTTTCCTGCCACAGAGCTACAACAATTAAAACTGCACTCTTTTACTGTCTTTCTGAGTAATATCTTCTTGACGACTTTTCTTTCCATTTTGTAGAATGTATTTTGGGATTATACTGCCATGAAGGTGTTGACACTGGAGTGTATCAGGTTTCACTCTATACTAATGTTTGCTGCTTTATATGTGTCAGTTAAAGAAAGCTTTTATTTTTTATTTGTTCGAAATTACATGTTTTGTTAGTGGCTGGTTTGCAAACCATTTATATTCAAAATTTGCAAAGCAGTATTTGCTTGCAATTTGATGTTTCATGGATACCATCATAGCTATCATAATATATGATGTTGATACGTTGTTAAGTTGCTAAGGAAGGCTTTGAAATCAATTTTTTTTATCATACTTTAGACTATTGATTAATTGATACAGAGTGAAGTTTTGATGTTTTAAACACAAGGCTGGTCTCCCTCTTGGTTCTTTTAGTTTCTTTGATTTGGGTTTTAATTGTTATATGCTCTGTTTTTTTGCTGACAAAGCGTTTAGAACTCAATTAAGTGGAAATTTACTTTGATTTAATGACATTTAGGTGTTCGGTGTTTAGCACATGACTATTAGGTGTACAATCATTGTGCACATGATCTTTTATATATGTTTTATGTTGGGTTTTTTCAGCCCATGATTAGTTGTCCAAGTCTATTGGGAATTATAGACTTGGAAGATTTAGTGGTTTTCCCAATTGGAGTGGTTTTCCCAATTGGAGTTGTTTCTCAACTGGAGAATGATTCATAACTAGATCTCAATTAGGATTAGTAATCCTTATTGAAGAAGACCTTTATTATGTCTACATAAGGGGGCTATTGTACTAGTTTTGAATTGGAGCAAAACAATAAATTGTATACCACTCAAGGAGTCAGAGCGAGAGTATATTGTACATGCAAAGTGTGTGCGAGAGAAAAGAAAAGAGATAAAAAGTGTATTTCTTGTTCTTGTTCTTTTAGGTTTATCGTCAAGTTCTTAATTCTAGAGACTTGGCAAGATTATTGGTTGTCCTCATTATTGATATAGTGAAAGACTGTTGTTGCTGTCCTGTGGATGCAGGCACATATAGCCGAACCACGTTAATTCTTGGTGTTGATTTGTCTTGGTTATTTGTTTTCAATTTCCAGAGCTTGTTCTGTTTTTACCATTCTTAAACGTGATATTTTCAACAAGTGGTATCAGAGCCTGGTCTGGCTGATATCCATTTAGAATGGAGGGTGTGACACGCTTTAACTGGGTTATGTGGAAATCAAGAATGGATTACATGCTTTACTGAAGGTGGTAAGAGCAAGCCAACAAGTATGTCTGATGCTAATTGGACCAATATGAAGATGAGCGGTGTTTTTTGGCAAAGAAGTCTATAATTGCCTTTGCCAATGACGATGGTAATTCTGATCTGGGGGAGCCTAATCAAGAGAAGTCTGATCAAGAGGAGTTTGATCATGAGATGTTCAATTAGACAAAGTCCGTCATGGATACTGCGATCAGGGAGATTTTGGTCATGGGTAGTTCAATCAGGAGGAGCCTAGTTATGAGTAGTTCAATAATGGGGAATCTCGTCATGAGTAGTTCAATCAGGGGGATCTTGGTTATGAGAGGTTCAATCAATAGGAGTTTGATTGTCCTAAGTCTATTAAGAATTATAGACTTGGAAGATTTAGTGGTTTTCCCATTGGAGTGGTTTCTCAATTGGAGAATGATTCATAACTAGATCCCAATCAAGATTAGTAATCCTTATTGAAGAAGACCTTTATTATATCGATTCAAAGGGGCTATTGTACTAGTATTGAATTGGAGCAAAACAATAAATTGTATACCACTCAAGGAGTCAGAATGAGAGAATATCGTAAGGGCAAAGTGTGTGCGAAAGAAAAGAAAAGAGACAAAGAGTATATTTCTTATTCTTTCAGGTTTATCGTCAAGTTCTTAATTCTAAAGATTTGGCAAGATTATTGGTTGTCCTCATTATTGATATAGTAAAAGACTGTTGTTGCTGTCCTGTGGATGCAGGCACATATAGCCGAACCACGTTAATTCTTGGTGTTGATTTGTCTTGGTTATTTGTTTTCGATTTCCAAAGCTTGTTTTGTTTTTAGATTCTTAAATGTGGTATTCTCAGCATTTTAAACATAATATGTCATAAAATTTTCAATCCTGCAGTTATACGCGGTTCGCGATTTCTAGTAAAATACTATAGTGGAAGTCGAGCACCCATGGTCTACACACACATTTGACAAAACTTTTCTAGAGACTTCAGCAAAGGAATTATAATATTAAAAGTGTAAGGATGTAAGAATCAAGTTTCGGTCGATGATCAAGATGGTGCCACTTGTCAGCAGATTAGGTGTTAAAGCTGTTAAGTTTGTTATGTTTGTTAAGAGAGAGGTTACTTGGAGAGTAGGCAATGTAAATTGTATAAAAGGCAAGTCCTTGTTTTTCAGAACACAGTGAAAATATACCAGAAGCATTTCTCATTTCTCCCTCTCTCTCGACTTCTCTCCCTACTTTCTGCAATCTCAGAGCTTCCATTGATGACCTGCAAGCTCAAGGTTCATCATCCTTACGTGGTATCCTTTCCGGTGATGGAGGACTCTCTTCGATCCTGATATCTTTATGCTTCCGCAATCTTCTCTGGTTGTTCTCTGGTATGCGTTCTTCTTTGATCTTTCTAAATTGAGCTGAATCTTGCTTTGCTACCAATCTTGAATCTTGCATATATAATGTTCGATGAAATGTGTCATAAGATTTCTTCTTCCTTGCTCATATCTCTGCACAAATCTCTCCTCTGAAAAGTCAGTTTTCTCTTCGAATTAATCAAGAAAAGTACTCTAAAACCCTAATTTTCTCAATTTCTTCAAGAAATTCCTTCTGCATCTATATTTCTGCTGTGAGAATTCAGACAAAATGATAAAATCTGCTATAATTTTGCTATCGCATGTCGTCCCATTGGAGCTTTGGTTCTAAGCTTCTTTGGCTAAAGGTACTAGTTTCTTTAATTATATACTCTTGACCATCCAGGATTTACGAGAGCTTCACTAATTTAGCCTTTCAGGTTACGTAATATTGAGGTGGAATTTTCCAATTTGCCATTAGGTCTTGGCTTTCCTCTTGGAGCTAATATCCTTTTCATCTGTTTAACTTTTTCGTCCCTGCTTTCTTTAGTCATGATAGAGACACAAATGGCTATCTGGTAAAACTTCGGACTTTTGATCTAGTACTGTTTTTCGACTTGACAAGTTGCATTTCTGAGTTATGTCATTCTAGCTATCTCTTCTCTTTTATACAAACTAGGTTTGGGTAATTTGATACTCAATTTTTCTGTCAATGATTGATTGGGCAACATCTCCCTGTCCAATCTCTACTTAATTGCTCTGGTTTTCGTAACTGGAAACATTTGTGCATGCTTTCTGTGGTTCAGATGGTTTTCGTAACTAGAAACATCAGTCAAATTAAACAGTAGCATTTCACAATGGCATCATCCTTGCAAGAGAGAGTTTACAGAAAAGAACTCATATTTGAAGGACGTAGCTCTCATATTTTTTACGTGGACAATGCATGTGCACTTGTCGCCATTGGTATTTCCTCCTCCATTTCTCCTCCTCCTCCTCCTCCTCCCTCTCTCTCTCTCTCTCTCTCTCTCTCTCTCTCTCTCTCTCTTTATATATATATATATATATATATATAAATCTTGCCTGATTTTGTGTCCGAAAGTATGAGTTGCATGTGATTGTAATATAGTTTGAACATTGACATTTTTACATGTTATATTGCTAACTTCCAGTTTAGTTCTAGGGTTTCTTATAATCAGTTTTGTTGACTATTCAATCAAAAACTAAACTAGGGTGAATGTTTAGCTAGCGATATTGAATATGCATTTTCTGTTCGGTGGGTTGTGCCACTTTATATGCATCTCTCTCAGGTTACTAATTTTTTGTTGCCCGTGGACTATAGAAGTTGAGTTCTCCTGATGTTGTTTCATTTTTTGTTTCTTAATTCGGTGCAGAAACATGAGAGAGCTGGATTTTGTTTCTCCCTGGTTATTTTTGTTCGAAAATTTTCATTCTGTACCCAAAAAAAAGGACTGACTCATTGCTAACTTTTATCCGTTTGTGTTTGGGATTCTTACAGCTAACGTTTTGTCGCTGAAGGGCAAGTTGGTCCATCTTTCAGAACCAAGAGTCATGAACGATCTTCTGTCCCTAGTTGCTGCACAATTGAGGATGGTATGCTTAATCATTTGCTTTGTTGGTGACTTTTTTTTTTCATTTTTTTAGTAAGGTTGTGCTGAAATAATAATATATATATATATATATATGTATATGTTTCACAATAGAATTCTGCTTAGCCGCATCAAGGGCAGAGAATTGATGATGCTATAAAGATACTCCCATAACTTGCAGCACAGATTGATGCCAAACTAAACTACAGAAGGTTGTAATTGTCCTTTAACTTCAGTCTTGACCAACTGTACTCTTTGATTTTCAATTGTCCTAATAAAAATATGGCTGCAGAATACAAGATTTGGGAGATTTCAAGGGACAAGATGTATTCAAGCTCTTAGGGGTCCCTATATACCATACAGATGGGTCAAATTCAAGCTTCTCTAAGACAGGAAAGGAAAAAAAAGGGGACCTCGAGGAACTTTCTGAGTTAGAGAAGGCTATACAACTGTCTTTGGCAGAGGTCACTAGTGTTTCTGCAGAAAAGGGTGAGTATTAATACCATATGATAGTGGGTGAATGATAACTTATGGTTTCTTTGTCTTGTAAACTGGTTATGTTCTAATTTGCTGACTGGTTATTTTCTAATTTGCTAACTGGTTTATGTTCTTGAAGCTCTTTCTAAAGAGGAGAATGGGTTGTGCGTCTTTTATTGGAACGGTTCTTTTGACACCATCTGCCGGAAGATGACTTATAGTTCTTGATTGACATGGAAATATATGTTGCAGTTGACAAGAATCTCGAAGGAGTGACATTGATCAGAGAGTGTTTGGATGGTCCACACATGTTTCGAGTCGTGCTTGATGATTTGATCGAAATTTATGTGAGCAGACAACATTAGATGAAGTCATTAAGTCATATGTTGCAGTCCTTTTGTGCTTATCTGAGATTGAAATGTTAAACCAATATGCTTAGTTCTCATACAATAGAAATCTGAGTTGGGTTTTAATCCTAGTGTGGTTTATTTGAATTGGATTCCCATTGTTCTCATCCCATTGCCGCTTCGTTAACAAGATCTCTCTCTCTCTCAATGTTGTAGCGTTTTTCAAGTGCTTTAATCTCAAGTTTTTACCTAAATTACATAGGATTGGTGCTTTTGTCTGTTACGTAATGTTTATTAGGCCCGAATGCTTAAGCTAGTATTAGGGCTAGTGTCATGAGTTTTTCTAAACAATAATTGTTGTGATTGATCGCACATTTCTTGTTCCCCCTTACCAGAAGGGAGAAGGCTCTTTAACTAGTTGGTGAATCCATACATAGTCTAATATAATATAAGATGATTAGATCACCATCAAGTTAATCTAATAGAGGTTCTAGAAGAAAAAGAGCCTTTCAAAAATTGCAAGATTTCAAAAAATAAATAAGTCACAAACAAGAAGCGAAAACTGGTCTAGTGAAATGGCGTGTTTACTCGTCCTTGGGCCCTTCTGCCTATAGAGGTTCTACTGTTCCAGTCATCCTTCTTTGCCGGGCATGGGGTTGGGGTTGCTTAGGCAACAAAGTAAGAATCTGAGGTGTTAACGCTGGGCAGCTTTTTCCAATACCCCCATTGTAAAAATGTAGCAGAAGCACATATATATCCAAGAGATGGTCCTGAACCAGGTGAAAAGCCCAAGCATACATCCACAGCATGTCTAGAAGAAAACTCGCGCTCGACATTACATTTAAACACGTGATGCCGAGCGGTGTCAAACCCTGACACTCTCAGCTAAAGTTGTCGTCCGAAGTAGCAGGCTTCGCAGGCACTTGCTCAGCAGCCTCCTTCTTCCCCTTGGGAGAGGACAAAAATGATTGTTTAAGGGATGCTACAACACCTACTGACACAGTTGCTCGTTGAGTAATTAACGCGTGACTGTCCCTTTGCCATCCACTAATTTCTAATCCTAAACTCTTTTGTCCCTTCATCTTCTCCTTCTATTTTCAGAGATGGAAATCAAAGTTTAAACCGATTATTGGTTGAAGCGAATGTAAGTAATGTCATTGATTCACTCAAGAAATGGTCACATTATGATCAATTGGTCATGAATTATAGCTTCATCAAGGACCAAATGGCTAGAGACAAAGGTAATTCACAAGTGAATTTTTAGGCACTTAATTCCTCAAAAGGCCCCTCATTAACACCCTTAAATTCACAGGTAAATTTTGAAACATAATCACTCGAGACCCACCTCGAGTATCATTTGGGCCCTCTTGAGGTTCCGAGGTCCTCGCTCTCCCCCTCGAGGGGTTAATGTAAAGAAACGGGTTAACAGTCTTCAACATGTGCAAATGTGGATATTTTTTCCAATTCACGGTTTAATGAGCAAGTATTTGTCTCACAATAAAATATTTATCAAATTTGACATTTTCGTGATGTATGTATGAGTGGGTTACTAGTCTTCAACACGTGCAAATTTACGTTGATTTTTTTTTTCCAAATCTTTTAAATTCACGGTTTAGTAAGATAAGTATTTGTCTCATAATAAAATATTAATCAAATTTGACAGTTTCGTAATGTATGTGTGAGTTTTTCATTTTGTATGGAATCATAGATTCATAAGCAAGAGAGACATCGTCAAGGTCCATTTCATAGTACATTTCCCACTCCTTTGTATCCTAAGAAAATTTTCAATTGTTTTTTTGGATAATATTTCTCTTAATTCATTGGCGCACGGCAAACAATTTGGTAGGTTGGTAAATAATGAACAAACTGAATACAACAAATTCTTAGTTGGGGCTCTTTCAAAGTTTCGGTCAGTGCCTTGCTGTCTAATTAAATATAGTTTAATTAACTGATCAATTGAATTAAACCTTAAAACGACATAGTTTGGACATAAACAATATTGTATCATGATTATCATCTTCACATCTTAGAATTTCATCGTTTCATAAGGCACGGCTTGTTTATGTTTAATTTATCTTTGATCAATTATTATTTTTTGAACAAAATATATTATCTATTCTAAAAGTGTTGGGAGCGGGCTAAGCCTCATAATGAGCTAACAATAATGTGATTCAAATTCGCCTTTGATGAAAATCGAACCCAAGACCTCTTACTTATAAGTTATAAGTGAATATAAATAATACTAGACGGTAGTACTAATTGACAATATATATTACCCTTGATCAATTCTTTGATCAACCTTTTCTCCAAGCTTAATGATAATGACAAATTAAGGTCATTAATTAAGTTGAATTAGCCCACAAATGGAAATGCTTAACGTCCCTTTCTTTCCCTATTCATCTCTTTCTTAAATTCCGTCCTTTTACCTTGTCTCTCCTTTTCTCTTTACTTTTGCTCGTTAGTCAACTTGTACAGGAGTCCATACCATTATTGGAAGATAATTTAGTCGCTTAATTAGGATTAAAGAGTAATTATACGTCTAAGATTCTTCTTAACAGAGAATTAAGTATTATCAGGTTTGCAAGTGGTGGATTACGTTGGTAAATGAGGTCTTACTCTTCAACTCACTACATTACATTGTTTATAATATAAATAATTATGTTACATTTTAATCATGTAATAGGGTTAATGACTTTAGAAATATCATACGATTTTTTTTTATTTACAAGCGATATTCTACATTAATTTATATTACCGAGAGATGGTTTGAACCTGTTCATAATAGATTAAAAAGGAATACCCTAACTACGAGAAACATTCGTCACTTAAATATACGACTTAATTGGATTAATAGTCCGCGTGGTGATAGGTTAGTTGGAAGATAGCCCATGTGGTAAAAAAAACAAGGATTTAAGCCCATGTGGTGAAGTCTGTTAGGATTTATGATCAAAATTAAAAATTTCGTCCACTTTCTATTAATTATTAGCACGTGAAGCAGCCCCACGTGCTAGCAATTAACGGAGAGTTCCATTTTAGCCTAATATGTGGGGCTGACGTGCTAATAATTAACAAAAAGTTTACGAAAATTTCAACTTTAGACATAAATCCTAACAAACTTCACCACAGAAGTTTAAATCATAATTTTTTTACCATAGGGGCTATCTTCCAACTGCTCTATTATCACAGGGACTAATAATCCAATTAGGCCTAAATATACCAATGAAATTAAAGTGGTCTACTTTTCCTAGCATCCTATGCAATTGAAGTGGTCTATTTTATATTGAAGTGTTTTTTTTTTTTCCATGAACAGTAAATCCACGATAAATGGCAAGATATAAAGGAAAACAGGATTTTATTTTGTTTTCTTTCGTATGAAGGTGGGTGTGGGTTGTGATTTGTATTAGAAAAAAATGTAAATTTCTTTTTGACCTAATATTCTAGCTCCATGGAGCATGTAAAAAAAAAAAAAAAAAGTCTACGTTGGAATGGTACACGTTAAGGAGGGAATACAAACATGTAGACTATTCTAGTACAAGAAAAAATAATCTACGTTGGAATGGTACACGTTAAGGAGGGAATACAAACACGTTAAGGAGTTAATTTTTTGGACATTCTAGTCTACATGTTTGTATTCCCTCCTTAGCTCCATGGACCATGTAGAAAAAGAAAAATAGTCTACGCTGGAATACAAACATGTAGACTACAATGTCCAAAAAATTCGAAAGTAGAAAAGGAAGAGCCTCTAAAGATGGAGCCGTATACCAAACACGTGAAGGCGAAAGTAGCCTCAAATTGATTAGCAACTAAAAATGATTAGTAATAAGAAGATGAATCAAATTTAAAACTTTAGGTGTGAAAGTAAATGACTGGAACTACGTACAAGTTCATTGCATTTGGTCTTTTAACACTGCAGATAGGGTGATTGGTACATAATAATATCCACACACCAATTAGGCTCGGCCCTGGTCCAGTGCCATCAAGGGGACCGCTTGGGACCCAAAAAAACAAGGGGCACAAAAAAAATTTATTTTCGTTCATATATGGATAAGATTTTGTTATTCTTGATAATATAATAAACGTTCATAATAGATAAAAATATATTTTAGATGATAAAGTGGTTTTGTATAGTTTTTGTTTCCGTGCTCACCCAAGTTCAATTCCCTCTCAACATAAAGGGTAGTTTCGTTTTTTTTTTTTTTTTTTTTTCATGTCTACTTTAAATAACAAAAAAAAAAACATTAATTAGATTATTATGCAAAGTGATTCTCTACTGCAATTGTAGAAATGAGTGTTGTCCTTGCACCACGGTGTGGATTTGAATCCATCGGCTTCTTAATTTAACATCTAATCTAAAAAATCTATTGTTTGACCAAAATTTATTTATTTTTATTAGGTTATTAAAGGTGGCATTTCCAGTAGTGATTTTTTGTTTTCAGTTTGAATTGGCTTGCAAAATCAGGTTCAAGTTTGTCTAAATATAAATTAGGGTTTTTTTTTTTTTTATGTTTTTTTTATAAATTTGTTTTTATTTTTATTTTTATCTATTGATAATCTTTTCATGTTTAAGTAATATTTTCATTGTTAATCTTTTCATGCTTAGGAATCAAACTTCTAAAAACTTTATTATTTCTACCACATTTGCCAACAATTCAGTAGAGCTTTACTACGATCACTCAAGTCATGGCACTCAACAGTGTCAATTAATTCCATTCAATCTAACACATTATTAACTGAGTCAAATTATTCTTTCGAGGAGTTACTGGAGAAATGTTCCACATTTCTTTAGCATGCACTCAATTAATTTGTTAATATTCTGAATGAATTTACTCAATCTCATTCTAGTATGAAGTTTTTCATGAGTAAGAAGCCAAGCGAAATTTTTTACCTTGGGAGGTATCGTTAACTTCCATATCTTCTTAAGGAGCTTCTACCTTTTAACTTCATGGTTATTATCACTCTAAATCCAAGCTGCCAATTTAATTGAGAATTCACTGGTAGAGGAATGTTCTTGCATGAAATTATCACTTTTATTTGAAGAGAAATAGGCACAATACAAATTTTTCTCACAACATCCAAGTCTAACACTTGGGAGAGACGAACTCTATCCCACCTCTTATTCTCAATAAATTCACTCATTTTAGTCTCCTAATTTATGTTCAATTGTTGATTTTCAGAAATTCGCTGGAGCAGTGGATAAGGAAAAACTCAACGATGAGTCCATAAAAAGATATCCTCTCCATTAACCACAACCCATCTAATTCCCCTATGAATAACATGTCTAGTATTCAAAATCATTTTCCAAGCCAAAGAGTAATTTTACTTGACTTTGCAACTCAAAAAATCATGCTTCTTTATATACCTTCTTTTTAACAATTTGCACCCACCAGTAGTTTTCATCTTTTAAAACTTTCATCCTAACGTAGCCATATATGCATTATTGAAATGATCAACTCTTCTGATGCCAGCCCCCTGAAACCTTAGAAGTACACTTTTTTTTTTCCCAAGTCACAATTTTTACTTCCCATCTCTACCCTAGAAAAGTCTCTACACTCATTGTTTAAATTCTTAGTTACTTAAGCATGATATTTAAAGTAAGACATGATATGATTCGGTATACCAGTTAAGTTTAATATTTGATGTACAATGTATGAATACTAAGATATATTATTTTATGTGAAATTATATTAGGGCATATTTTTCAATGTCGCCTAGGGTGTAAAAAAATAAGGACCGGCCCATGAAATCGATTGGTGAACAACATGTGTTTATAGTTATGAAATTAGGAGGTTTTAACTGGGGAGGATTTCGAGTGCATGAACTTCAAACTCATTGAATGAGATGAGAGAAAACGACATGAAATCAATAATCCAATTTCGGACTCGGTCAAAGCATGATCAGTATTCATGAAATTTCCTGGCTATTTCACCAAATTAATTGATTCATTTGTTTTTTATCAAATGGTTTTTGACATCTGACTTCCAAATCAATAAAACTATTTCTACCTCATTTTAAACAACAATGCACCCTTATACTTGAACTTCCTAAATTTATTGTCTCTTTGAAAAAGTTCAACTTTCCTCAAGTATAAGGATAGGAGGAATTGCCTCAACACACTTTGTGGTCGATTTACATAAGTTTTTTGCTTATAATTAGAACCGTTTATATTATAAACTGAAGAAAAGAACTAATATCATAATAGATAATACAATGTGCTCTTACACTGCACCCAAGTGTCAAATTTCTAGTCATGTAATTTAGGGCTAGTTTAAGATTGCCGTTGAAAAAAAAAAAAAAAACTACTTCTACTATACTATAAAAATAAACAGCTGTGAAAAAAGTAGGCACGTGTTTGTTAAACTATACTGTTAAAAGTGCTTTTGGTAAAAAAAATATGACGCACTAGGTTCGGGAGAAGGACAGGGTAAGGTTGTTAATATGAAAGTTTTATTAATTGATACTGTTTACCTGCCTTTTATGAAGAAAATTTTTTTTATTTTATTTACCAAACACAAGTTTAGTCCCAACTTTTTTAAAAAGCTGCTTTTGAAAAACTTCAAACAACACCGAACCCGCCTTAGATTAAGTTAGATTATAAATTGAATTAAAAACATAGTAACATAGGTAGACTGTATGGAATGTGGTTATGAAGGCTCCCTTTTGAGTGAGGATCCTCACCAGATCCTCAAATCATATCCGTTCATCCTACATTGTGCGATCAGAAATCATTATAAATTTTTTTATTTGAAATTGAATATAAATAGTATCTAACAAAAACTAATCGTACGATGTACGATGAATGAATTTAATTGAAGAATCTCCGAAATCCTATCCGGCAAGGATCCTTTCTTCTCCTTTTTTAAGCAATCCAAATGTCATGTACTATGTCAGTGTCCAAGTATTAAATATTCTTAGTTGTCATAATCAAGTAACGCGCAAACTAATTAAACATTTTCGTACTATTTTGTCCTCATTATTTCGTATTTGTTTTCAACATAATTAATTAACGCGCAAACTAGCTGGACTTGTACTTTCTTGTTCTAGTTAACCAAGATGTTAACGCAGCAGTAGAAAACAAGTGCAAAAAGACGATTCATGATCCAAATTTTAACCATGTAGCGTCGAATAATTGGTTTTTTAATTATTAATTTAATCCCAGTATATTAAGTTGGTTGATGTAGGTGCGAAAATGTGTGAGAATATTAAGAAGAGATGGAGGAGGAAGGTGCTGAATGAGTACAGTTACTGCAGTTGGCGGTGGAACCGATGGAGTGGCTCCAAATGGCGCGGATAAAGGCCGTACGCGACGGTTTCAAGGGAAAATATGCGACAGCATGTTCCATATTTATTCCGCTGCATCACGACCAACAGTTCCTCGTACGTGTTGACTCTGCATACTATATTGAGGATAAAAATACTAGTTTTATCACCTATGTGTAGTATTATTTGTACCATCTCTCTATTAGGAATGAGAATTTTATGCGTTAACGAGCCTGAGATAAAACAAATAGATGGTCAGTATACCATTACTCTATTGAGAATGGAAATGTTAAGAAGACTATCTCAAAAGTAGAACAATTGATAAACTCTTTGTCATCTCATTTTTTCTATATTCCGGTACCAATATTATAAAACCTTATGATAAAAACATGAAGTGACGAAAATTCTAGAGAGCCCGACTTTGAAACATTCTCTTTAGCATTTCCCTACTAAGAAATGTCAAGGGAATCTTTGAAAAATGGGCTGCTTGTTACATTTTCATGAAGCCCGCTTGTCATTCCAAAGTTGTTTACCTGAGTTGAGTGTTTGATTGTTTAATTATTATTTAACAATTGCGTCTAAAATTTCTTAGAACTTAAAATATCTCGTCCAGACTCAGCAGCACTATTAAACTACTGCACCGGATGATATCTGTAATAGTGTAATTAACCCTTTTATTTAGTGGGAGTCGGTTTCAACTACAACCATCAAGCTTAAGACAATCAATCCCTTTTAGACGATTTAATCAAATCGATTGAGAGAGAATTTCAAGATTCAAGAACTATCATCCCTTCGTGTTTTCCCAATCATCCTTTTCCCTTTCGAGTCCTTTTGGTTCACTTTAGGTAGTGGAAGTCGTGGAAAGTAGAATTCCGCTTTCTGGGCGTGGGTGTTTTGTGCTGTAGAGCTTTCTGAGTTGGGGAACAAGTTCTGTTTTGTAGATTGGAGGGGCGATTTCTTGGTTGAATTGGTTAGATTTGAGGTCTGGAAGGGAAAATATGAATCGGGTTGCCTGAGATTTTGGTTCATTTCTTGATTTGGAGAAGATGTAGGTGAACCGGGTGGAGTGTGATTTTGATAAATGGTTTTTCCAATTGAAGAGGAGCAATTGTAGAGAGAGAAAGTTGAGTGGGTAGAGTGAGAAAATGATGATCAAGTTCTAAAAGTTGAGGAAAGGGAGGGGTTTCAGAGGGAGAATGCAAAGTATTGGAGATAAATAGAGAGAGAAATTCATAGATTGGTTACTGGTTTGAGGTTTTGAATAGCTATTGGCCATGGCTGTAGTGAGTTCTGTGCCTGCAATTGCTCAACTGGCAGGGCGGATAAGCTACACTCCTATATCAGAATACATGGCTCGCGGAGAGATTGTGGAGGAGCCGGTGGCAGTGCCGGTGGCGGTGCCAGCGGTGCCACGGATGATCGAAGATATGATCTATGTTGCAGTGGGAAAAGACGTTAAAGAAAGCAAATCAACTCTGGTGTGGGCGGTGCATAATTCTGGAGGGAAGAAAATCTGCTTAGTTCATATTCACCAGCCCGCTCAGATGATTCCTTTGTGTAAGTGGATCGTCACACACTTGTTTTGTTTGATGAATGTTGTAACTTGTTTAACTCACAATTAGTAGCTTGATAATGCTTTATCTGCCGAGGACCATGGTTTTCGGTTTGATGGGCAGCACAGCAATTCGGTGGTAAATTAGCCAAAAAGATTGAAGAAGTGTAGAGAAGTATATATATAAACTCCGGAGACTAGTTACAATCAAATGCTTCATTGTCTGGCTGGGGTTTGGATCAGATAGTTCGTATAACAAAGTTTCTATTTTGTCATTCTGTCTTAGGATTTCCGACTGGATTTAATTTTCTGCTGTTTTCTTCATTTGCAGTGGGGGCGAAGTTCCCAGCGAGCTCACCGACGAAACAGCAACTCAGACTGCACAGAGAAACTGAAAGGCAACACATGAATAAGATCCTTGATGACTACATTTGTATTTGTCTCCAAATGGGGGTATTTCCTCCGTTTCTACCTTTGTTTTCCTTTTCCTTTTTCTTTCTTGTACAAAATACAGTAATTTCTATAATATAAAAGAAAATTGAGAAATATATGACAGGATACGAAGTTAAATGATAGTTCTTACGAAGTTGGTATATCTTAGGAGAAAAGACTGCATTCTTGTATTATCTTAAAGCGAAATGAAAACTTAGATTTTTGTTACTTGAGTAGTTCCCTTTCAGATGCTTTGTAAAATTGCCAAACTTTCTGACATATTTTGTTGTTGACTGTTTGATGTAGGTTCGGGTAGAAAAGCTACATATTGAAAGGGACTGTATTGAGAAGGGAATTGTGGAACTCATCTCTCAGCATGGGATCAGGAAGCTTGTTATGGGAGCAGCAGCAGACAAGCACCATTCAAAGTATCACATAACAACTATTCTCATATGCCTGTTTGTCCTTTTTAGTTCTACGAACATGTCCAAATATTTAATTACCCCGGATGTGTTTGAATGAAGCATTTGTGTTCATCCAACATAGATATGTGGGTTCTGACTCTACATGCTCTAGGATGAATTGTTAGTTCAGTCACGAACGAGACTAATGCATTATAAAGCCGCGTGCTGAAAATTAAATGACCGTAAATGTTAACACAAGGCATGATAAAATATGTGAATGTTAACTAGACATGCCTGTTTGTCATTGTAGCATCTTACACTACTGCCTCTGCCCCATATAATTGTTTGGTTAATTAGATTCCAATTCCCTTCTGAGTAGATGAGTTTTTTTCTTTCCCCTTATGATGGAGTTCCCAATAGAAGAGTTATTTTGTTTACCAACGCAGTTTTTTTGTGTGTAAAAATATTATTCACTCACAATTTAAAATTGCAGGAAAATGATGGACCTCAAGTCCAAGAAAGCAATATTTGTCCGCCAACAAGCCCCTGTTTCCTGTCACATACAATTTATTTGCAAGGGGTACCTTATACACACCAGGTTTACTTGAACTTCTTAGAAAATCAAATTGAAATATTGAAGAAAAAGGTTTTCTTGAAACTTCTGTTATTTATCTTTCTATTCAGAAAATCCGTGCTTCAAAACAACCATATGGTTTTTAATTGTTTGCATGATGGTGATTGTAATTATAAATTTCTTCTCAACATCTCATTTTCTCTTAAATCATGAACTGTTGCTTGATTTTGATGATCATGACTACTAATGCACCAACCATGATAAAATAGGGAAGGAAATTCCGATGTAGTTGATACAGAGGTTCCATTGCTGCGACGAAGTCCAATGGAACAGCCACCGCACCGCTTTAGATCACAATCTGATACAATGGAGCGGACTAATCGAGCGAAACTCACCAATCCAGTTCAAGATTTGTTCCGCAGGGCAAGCTCGGTAAATATGGAGAAATATGGAGGCAGGACAACAAATGCTACTTCCACAGATGGTACTGAAGCGTTTTCAACTCCAAGAAATAGGTACGAACCAGGAGCAAGTCCTGAGGAATTGGATCAGGTAATAAGGAGGAGTGTTTCAGGATATTCAACAGGCTCTTCTGCTGGATTGGGTGATTTCACTTTGATTCATTGGGATGGAGTTGAGGGAAGTGAAAATGGGTCAAGTAACTCATGCAGACTTCCTCATTCTAAAGATCTTAATCCTTCATCCCCTCCCAGTGTATTGGTAAGCGCAAACTATCCCTTTTGGGTGAACAATCTACATGGTTCACATGCTGAATTTGAATTTTGAAACTGTCGATTAGTACATCAACTGCCACCTTAGAAGGAATTAACCGAGTTAATTTTAAAACCTTGATGGTCTAACAGGATGGAAATGTAGATGATACTCTGTATCATCATCTTGAACAAGTGATGATAGAGGCTGAAAATGCAAAGAGAGACGCATTTCAGGAGGGAATCAGGCGTGGGAAAGCTGAAAAAGATGCCATTGACGCTATTCGGAGGGTAAAGATTTTCTTCTCTAGTAGGCACTTCTTTTTACCATTTCCATTTCCCCCCAAACATGAATTACAAAAGTTTATCTTTTCATGTCTTCTTTATTCCAATACTTACACTACCTCACATAGATGGTAAATTGTTCATCAAAGAAGGTTATATCTAGAATTGGCTACATGCAATTGACCATCACAGAACTTGATTATCTAAGATGAGAATATGAGCATGATCCTCTGCATGAAATTATTCCTAGTGGCTTGGCACCACATTAAACTGCATAACATTATTGGTAACATGTAATTTGGAAAAGGAAACATAATAAGTTCCATGATCTCTGTTCTGTTTTCATAGCCGAAAACTCCGTAAACAGAAAATTGTGAATTGTTCCATTCACAGGCTAAAGCATCAGAGGTCTTATATAATGAGGAGTTGAGACAAAGGAAAGAAATGGAAGAAGAACTGGCAAAAGAGAGACAAGAACTTGAAAAGATGAAGAAGATACGAGATGAAGTCATGGAAGAATTAAGGGCTGCCCTAGATCAGAAATCACTACTTGAGAGTCAAATTGCGGAGTCTGATCAGATGGTCATGAGCTTGGAGCAGAAGATTATCTCGGCTGTGGAACTTTTAAAAAATTACAAAAGAGAACGCGATGAGTTGCATGTGGAACGTGACAATGCACTTAGAGAAGCTGAGGAGCTGAGGGAAAAACAAGGAGAAGCCTCAAGTTCACACATACCTCAGTTCTTCTCTGAGTTCTCATTTGCAGAGATTGAAGAAGCAACTCAAAACTTTAACCCATCACTGAAGATTGGAGAAGGGGGTTATGGGAGCATTTTTAAAGGTTCCCTACGTCACACTCAGGTGGCTATAAAAATTTTAAATGCTCATAGTAAGCAAGGCCCCTCTGAGTTTCAGCAAGAGGTATGATAATCTGAATATTTTCTACACCTCATAAAGCTGAATTGATTTATAAAAGCATTGAGCTACTGCAGTAATTTACTATTAAGGTTTGAGTGAAATTTAATAATCAGGAGTCCAATTGTTGCGTACTATATGTACCCACAATTCCACCTGCTAAGAACATATTGGGGTAGTTGTTGGGTTTTTTCCAACCCATGATAAGTTGTCCTACGTCTATAAGGAATCATAGTCTTAGAGGATTAAATTGTTTTCCCAATTGGAGTTAGTTTCTCAATTGGAGAAGGATTCATAACTAGTATTAGTAATCCTTATTGAAGAAGATCTTTATTATGCCTATATAAAGGGACTATTGTACTAGTTTTGAGAGGAGAGCAAAACAATAAATTGTATACCACTCAAGGGATTAGATTGAGAAAATATTGTAAAGTGTGTGGGAGAGAAGAAAAGAGATAAGTGTATTTCTTGTTCTTGTTCTTTCATGTTTTTCGTCAAGTCCTAGTTCTAGAGATTTGGCAAGATTATTGGTTGTACTCATTATTGATACAGTGAAAGATTGTTGTTGCTGTCCCGTGGACGTAGGCACATATTGCCGAACCACGTAAATTCTTGGTGTTATTTGTCTTGGTTATTTGTTTTTCGATTTCCGGAGTTTGTTTTTGTTTTTCCCATTCTTAAACACGATATTCTCAACAGTAGTTTCTGGGTTGATGCCTTCAATAGGTTAACCTACTGATTTATAGGTTATCCAGTGGACTAGCCAAAAAAACTAAACCTTAATCAGGGTGTATTCGTATTTCTTTGATACAATATTTTATAGCCCGTGGGATTATGGCTTATATATTTTTAGTTTTTAAAGGGCAAGGTATGTGGATGAATGAGGGGGAGATGACGAAGTTGAGAAAGCAACGAGTGAGATTCAAAGAACTGAAAACTACACTAATTATTAATGATTTTAATAAGTTTTCAGTCTTTTCTTGATAACCCTTTATATAAATTTTCTTTCCTCTCCTATACTATCACCTGTCCTCTCCTCCTCTCTTTTGTTGCTTTTCTATCTTTACCATGTAACTTTAGAGTCAATAGCATGTAAAGGCATCGGGAAGTTAAAAATTGAGGTTGTGAAATCTTTTAGATTTTTCTGCTTTTTGGAGGCTGGAACGTTCAATTTTTTTTTTGCAGTTTTTTACTTGGTCTTGTTTACAAATAATATATTTTACAACTTAAATTGGAAGAAAAAACCGCTTGGAAAGAACTTCATTTCGCATGTTTGCCAAAACATTAAATTTAGTTGATGCTTCTCAGGTGGATGTGTTGAGTAAGTTACGACACCAAAATCTTATCACGCTCATTGGTGCCTGCCCAGAAGCTTGGACTCTGATCTATGAGTATCTCCCAAATGGAAGTCTTGAAGATCGACTCAGCTGCGAGGACAATACTTCCCCTTTGTCATGGCAAACTCGAATACGAATTGCCACAGAGTTGTGCTCCGTCCTAATCTTTCTCCATTCCAGTAAACCTCACAGCATAGTGCATGGTGACTTAAAACCTGGCAATATTCTCCTTGATGCTAACTTTGTTAGCAAACTCAGTGACTTTGGAATCTGTCGGCTGTTGCCTCGTGGGGAGAGTTCAAGCAACGACACAACGATCTGTTGGAGAACTGACCCGAAGGGTACTATCCCATACATCGATCCTGAGTTCTTCTCATCAGGAGAGCTTACAACAAAGTCAGATGTTTACTCATTTGGAATTATACTACTACAGTTGCTGACTGGGAAACAGGCTGTGAGGATAATAAAGGATGTGCAGGATGCATTAGATTCTGGAAAGTTTGAAACGCTCTTAGATCCTTTGGCTGGGGATTGGCCATTTGTACAGGCTGAACAGTTGGCTCGCTTGGCATTAAGGTGTTGTGAGATGAGCCGGAAGTTGAGGGCAGACCTTGTATCGGATGTCTGGAGAGTACTTGAACCCATGAGAGCTTCATGTGGTTGCTCATCATCATTCCAGTTGGGTACTGAAGAGCATTTCCAACCTCCTCCATATTTTATTTGTCCCATTTTCCAGGTAAGTTATGTTCATTATAATCATTATATATTGGATCAACATCGTCATAATCACTATGTTATTGACTGAGAAACACATGCACACGGGTTTATCGATCTACAAGGAACATAGTTTCAGGGCAATTTTCTTAATTGTGTTAAGAATTTCGTCAATTAACTGAAAATGTCGTTAATCAACTGCAGGAAGTCATGCAAGATCCGCATGTTGCAGCAGACGGTTATACTTATGAAGCAGAAGCTTTGAAAGGATGGTTGGACAGCGGTCACGACACTTCACCGATGACAAATCTGAAGCTTGAACACAAGAATCTCGTCCCCAACCGCGCTCTCCGTTCTGCAATTCTGGAGTGGCTGCAACAGCTTTGATCTCTTTCTCCATTTGCTTGGATATTTTTGTTCAACATATATATTTGATAACAACATGCATAAATATAGTGTAAAGAAATTAATCGACTATTGTAATGTACAGAAAACCGCATGTTTTGCTTCAACACTTTTTCATACTTCTTGCTTGCTCATGTATATTTGACATTGATTGTGATCTATTCAACATGATTATGATTACGGAAAACGCTGTTTATAACAAAAACACTTTTTAACTTTTTTGGTTGAACGGTTTCATCTATCAGTCTGAAATCACTTGTAAACATGTTCTGAAGTCTCGCAGTATCTTACATAAAAAGATTATTGACTTCAACTTTTCCTGCTAAACGTTTCAAATAAAGTCTAGTGTTATTCAAATACCATTTTTCACTCTGACATGCTCTTGTTAATTGTTGTTCACTGATGTTCTTTAATGCATTCGACCTAATGTTAAAAAATTAAAAGGGAGTGTGAAAATAAAAAATAGGGTGTGGATATAACCACCGCCATTTTAAAGCACTCGCAAACATGCTTTGGTATCTTGATAACCAAATGGGTCGCTTAGAGCAAAGGCCCAGTGGAGTTAGGGCCCATCACATCTCATGCACAACAAAAATAGAGTTAACCGCACCACAAATACCACATCTGCACGCGTGATCCCACCATTAAGTACGGTGGTATGTGTGGAGTAAGGGTGGGTTCGATTTTATTCGGTTGGGTTTTTTTTATCAAAACTAAAATTTCAGTTCGATTCAATTTTCTCTCGATTTTTTCAGTTTGGTTTCGGTTTAGTTTGGTTTTAGTTTCAGTTCGGTTTGGGTTTTTTTTTTTTTTTTTTTTTTTTAATTTTTTGTTATCAATGTCGCACATCTAAACATCTAATGGTAATAAAAGCAAACCAGCTTTTATCTTATCTCGTCTGTAATTAGGAACACCAAAACAAGCAAATGACAATGACTTTGATCTTGTCTTCACTGTATACACTGAGGTGGTCCTATGTACTATGCCAATCAAATGCAGGCTTTTAGCAGAAAGCATCAGAAGGAAGTTAGATATTTTGAAAGGTTGGCAAATGAAGATTATCATGTCCTTGTAAATCAAAAGGTTTAAAGCATGAGAAAACATCAGAAGGAAGTTAGATATTTTGAAAGGTTGACAAACGAAGATTATCATGTCCTTGTAAATCTAAAGGTTCGAAGCATGAGAAAACATATTCGATTATTGCTACAGAGTTGAATTTTGAAAGATTTGCACTAAGAAGAAGATACCAGCTGGTTTTTCAAGAAGAATGCTAAGATCAATTTTCGGTTTTTGTTTTACTTATTATTTAAGAAGAATGCTAAGATTAGTTTAGAGACTTCGGTTGGGTTTAAATACTAACATAAAACGACATCATTTTAAGTGTAAAATTATTCGGTTTGGTTCGGTATTGTTCAAATTTTGAACTTCTAAAACCAAAACCGAACCAATAAAGTTTGGTTTTCCTTTTTCCGGTTTTTGTTTTTCGGTGTAGGCTCGGTGTTCGGTTACCTTTTTTTAGGGTTTCCGTTTTTCGAATCCACCCTAATGTGGAGAGTTGACTATGTGAAAGTGTAACCATAGTGCCAATTGAGTACATTTTTGCTCACCATCTTTAAATGATGGTGAATATTACCATGATATTGATTGACATTAAATAAGTTTAAATCTCAAGATTTATATAGTAGATAGATTAAATCAAAGGCTACTCTTCCAACCGTCACAACCATTTAAGAGCATTTCCAACTCATGCCAATTAGCCGGGCAAAAAATAAAAAACCCCCACTTTTATGGAATCTAACATGACGAGGAAGAGTGGCACGTGGTTTTCATTGCTGTTGCTGTTCTCTTTAACTGAGTTGCTCTCTGTCACTATCTCCTTCCTCTTCGACAACCTCGGCCGATTTGATGATTTCTGGGATGGAGGCAATGATGGGATAGAGAGAGAGAGAGATAGAGTGGGAGTTTTTGAGAGGGAGACTGGGCAAAGACAGAGAGGGAGAGGATGAGGAAGAGGGTGATTGGGCGGAGATAAAGAGGGAGAGGGAGAGGGAGAGGAAGAGGATATGAAGAGGGATATTGGGCTGAGAGGGAGAGGGAGAGGAAGAGGGAGATTGGGTGGAAAAAAATAGAGGGGGTATAATTAATTTAAAATAATAGAAAGAGAAGATACAATTAACATAAAATAATATAATATTTTCTATTAATTTTTTATTAATTGTTTTAAAAAATAATTTTTATTATTAATTGCAGACATAATTTATTTACACAGTCGAGCAATTACTATTTACTAAGACAATAATTGCCTTTGTTGAATTGCCAGGGCAATTATTGCTTTAGGATGTGGACTAGCTCTAACTTGAGTAGAAAAAAAAAATAATAAGAATATGGTTATTTACACACTCATTTTTATCTTCACACATCCTTATTAATTTTTTACTATTGATATTTTTTAATTCATTCGATTCGCAGCTAAAAATTTAGAAAGATATGTGAGAAATAAAAATAGGTGTGTGAATAATATTATTAAAAAATAAGTCATCGAATGTTTAAGGAAAGAAAAATACTAAGGAAATTATCTTAAAATATGACTCTATAAACTCTCTTCTCAATTATTTTATATTTTTTATGTCAACATTATAAAACGATGGCCAAAATAATGACGTGACGAAGAGGTATATAGAGGATCTTGGAGACAGTCTCCTTCGCATTCTCTTTAACTAAATATCAAATGAGGTGAAGCGTGCTACACGTGTTCAATTTCCACTGGTGGTACGACCAAAGGATAGAAGGAATATCAGTATTAGCGCTGACTATGATCACATGCCCCCTTATATACTGACACGTTGCTAAGTTTACGGGGAGCTTGCAGGTAGGGAATCTCTAGTCGGTAATAATTTATGTAGCCGTCTTATCTGTACGGTCCATACGGAGGCTTCGGACCCGTTCGGACAGTTACCGGTAACCTGTGAAGAAAAGTTCATATACCGTCCACGCGCTGTAGCATTCTCTTTCACGAGACATTGACGCTCCGTAATGTCAAACTAATAAAATAATAATTAATAAATAATAATACAAAAAATAATGATGATAATCACTTCTTAAATAATAGTATAGAGTACAGATAAACAATGATGCTATATTTGTAAAGTTTTTATTTTTTTATTTATTTTTATTTTTTTATTTAGTTAATCATCTTGTACAATATTAGTGATATTAGTTTGGATTAGATATATTTTGATAGCTACTAATTAATAATTTAAACTTACCATTAGATAACATAAGTTGTTATTTAAAATAATGTCAAAGCCATGCTACATGAGTGTAAATTATGTTTTGATCGTTTGAGTATTACCACCCATTACCCCATCTAATCAGTTTTTGTTCTTCAAATAAAACTAGAAAAAAAACTTGAAAATTTGTGATATACAAAACTTACTCATTTGAAGTTGTGTGATGAGTATATAGAGAAATATACACGGTGGTACAACAAAGTATTTTCTAAAACTAGTATGAGTGATATTCATATAATATTAATCACTTGCCAAAACTCTTTAAACACATTGGTACAACTAAAGCTGGTCACTAATGTGTAGATTAAAATTTGTAAACTAAATGATATAGAAGTTGAATAAATTATTACTTAAATGTTAATTAATATAATTTTTTATTAATAACATATCATTTAATTTTTGAATTTAAGTTACCTCGCATTTGCTGGTTACTATCTAAAACACAAAACTAAAACTCAGTCAAAGCCCAAACCCCAAGACATAAACTCTCATACTTTTCAACTTTCTTTCCTCCGATCTCCCCGGTCCACCGCCACAATTACCCCAGTCCACGAATGGCGCGTGCCGCACACGCCTCCACAGTGCCGGTGAGAAAATCCACTTTCCACACCGCACTGCACAAGAGAGAACCGGTTCAACGGTTGCACGTCCACACGGCCAAACACCCAGAAACGACAACGCGGGAAACACAAAACGCAGACACCCTCGGCGATATTTCTCTCCCTCCCTTTTTCCCCACTCATTCCCTCACATTTTCCCTCATCATCTTCTTCCTCCTCCTCGTCCTCCTCTCCATCTCTGAAACCCTAAACCCCCTTCTGGATTTTTTCTGTGGAAAAGTTAATTTTTTATTTTAATACATATTTTTTTTGTGTTTGGTTGGTGTGAATAGATATGGATTTACAGAGAGGTGTGTGGGTGGTGGTGGGAGTGCTGGTGGTTAGTCTAAGTCTCAGCTCAGCTGGGGACATTGTTCACCATGATGATATTGCTCCCAAGAGACCTGGATGCAACAACAACTTCGTTCTGGTAATTTCACTGACTTTTTTGGATTTTGATTTTCTGTTTGGTTGCTGAGAAAACTGGGGACGGAAAAGATGGAATTTTTCTTTGGGAATGATGCTTTGGGGGAACTAAGAAGCTCAATCTTACTGTTTGGTTGCTGAGAAAATGGAGCTGGATTAGACTATTAGTGGATAGAAATTAATTGTGAATTTTCAACTGTTTTGGAGGTCGAAATGAGAGTTTAGTTTCGGTTTGAGTGGTGTGGTGGTCGAGTAGTACATAGTATAGATATTGATTATGTGACTTAAGTAATGAAAATAGAAGGAAAAAACTAGAATCTCTGTTTCTAAGTGTCAGGATTTGTGATGCTTTCGGGACCAAGAAGTTCGAGCTTGCTGTTTGGTTGCTGAGAAAATGGAGGAAGATTAGTGAAAATGAAATTAAATTCTGAATTGCCAACTGTTTTTGGAGTTGGAAATGAGAATTTAGCTTTGATTTTGTTGGCGTGGTGATCCGGTTGTTCAAGTAATGGAAGATTAGGCTGACAAATTTCATACTTTTGTGCTTGGAAATTTGTTACACATTTAAGCAGTGCAGCATTTTTTCACATATAAATCCCTAGTTAAGAAACAAAGTAAACAACAATTATAATGTCTGTTTGATTTTATTTTTACTCTTATAGCAAAATTATCTATTTTGTCTTCTGTTTTCCTTAAGAAAGGAAAGATGTAGAGGAGGGACGACGAGTGACGATACACAGCAGATAGAATTAGAATTAAAAATTTATTAGAATTGTTCTTAGTTCAATGTTTTGGTATTCGTTT